AAAAGTTTAATTTTCTAATTAAAATCCAAATAATAATTTCAGATTCTTAAAATCCATAAAGAAATTTTTTAAATTTTTTTAAAAAGAATTTTTAAATTCTTTTTATTTTTTTGAATATTATATATATTTTTGAAATTGTATTTAAAACTTAATTTTTCATATTTTTCAAAATTTCAAACTTTTTTTCAATAATAATAATATAAATCAATTCGAAAAACTTATTTTTAATAATATAAATTCATTCCAATATAAATTTTTATTAAATTATTAATATTTTAAAATATTATTTTTTAAATCAATTAATATTCCATTTAATATTTCAAATTCATGAAAAACTAATTATTATATTTCATTAATCTTCAATTTGTTTTTTTATAAATTTTGATATTATTATAAATAGTTTTGGATTTATAATCAATTTTTAATTCAATAAATTAAAGCGTGCAAGATACAGGGTCGTGCACGATGCAGGGATATCGATTACAGTGTACATACATTGGCGAAACATGCCATGAGGACTGAATCTACACTTTTTGGTGGATTTCAGCCCTACCAACGAACTATTGCATATGTAAAACTAAGCTTCAAAGAAGACGACTTTGAGGCTTTACTATTTGGATGCTCTTTGGGTGCCTCACATTCCATCGCATTCTTCTGTACCAGAAGTACACATCTTCTTCTTCCCAATCCCAATTCCAACCCCCAATCACATCAATCTATTCGCGATATCTGAAACGCTCACCAACGTACATGGATATATATGAACAGAGATTCAGTACGCGCTTATCCAGAAGTTATTTCTGTGCCTACACATTCGATTCGCTTCCACCTTTCCTAATCCGATCTATTTTGAGATTAGATGTGGCGAAAATGAGGAGAGGTGATTGGGTTGATGTAGTATCCTCCACGTCTTTTATTGGGGGCGTCTAGGTTCCAAAGCGCTCTTGGCAATCCAGCCCCAGCTTTAAGGATACTTTCAGATGAAAGGTTCGGTTCGTGTGAAGGGACAGGTCGTGATACAACGTTGGGAGGGAGGGAGGAAGTGATGACTTTCGACTAGGATTCTTAGCTCCGGTTGGCGATAGCAACGTTCGTTTGTACCTATGAATAGGTATCTTCTTCTAACTTCACCTTCTTTGTTTTCTCTGTTGGCGTCTTGAAGGGTTTGTATATCTATCTTATCTTCATATCTTGTACATCTTACATCTTACATCTTACATCTTACATCTTACATCTTACATCTTACATCTTACATCTTACATTCACATATCCAAACTTCAACGAAAGTCCCGTGCAGCACAGCCCATTCACATACAGATCACAAAACGGGGAGCTTATCGCAAGGTACGAAAAGGCTGTGCCGCCCACAGGAAAGCCCATCCAAACATATCTTCAAAAGACGTTACATCTTTCGCATTCGTACAATTATAGTTTGGTACTCTACCACGATCGTTTGAAGCTTTTAGGCTTCCACCAAAAGTGCTGATATATCCAATTACCGAGGGCGAGTGCCTCTAGACCCACTTTGTCATTCTTCCAGGTATATTCACTCTGTATATATGAAAGAATACGTTGGTTCTAACAATTCCTCGTAGTCTTTTTCCTCGAGCTTGATATTCGATATATACATAAGAGTTGGGAATAATTAGAGAGTTGGGTTATGGCGGGACATGAATCCGGGGAGACCCCTTCATCCAATCAATCTACATCACCCTCCTCAAAATCGAACTCAACACATCATATCACCTCAATTGGAAATCAGAGTCCTCCCAATACACGTACCCAGCATCATAATAGAAATCAGTCTTCATTAGCATCAAAACTTTCACCTACATCAGAAGCTTCTTTTCTATCTAATGAAAGTGATGAGATTGATATCAGTCATGTGCCCTTATCTGCACATATATCGATACCATCGGGTCCAATAGATGCATCAACAAAACACAATCGAAGATCATTATTCTCACCAGAAACTTTCAAAACGGGACTTGCATCTCCTACTCAGAAATCTTTCAGACTTTTCTCAAAACGTGCTAGTTCATATAATCCATCAACCACAAAAACAGATGCCGATTCCAGCAAAGACACCACCAAGGGAAAACTTGCCCCCAAACGGTTTTCCCAAAGAAAATCACTCCTCAATCATTCTCGAGATGCATCTATACTAGAAGAAGATTTCGATCTCAATCTCCTTAGTGCCGCTATGCCCATGGCCTACCAAGGAAAACCCATCGACAAAACCGCCAGTGCAGAAACCGAATATGAAGATGCACCCATGGTATCTCCCATGGCCATTCCTTTTGATCTCTCCATGTTCCACGAACATATCCACAACTCCTCCTTGAGCCCCGCCATGCGCGAGCAAATCAATCGACAAGAAGCCGCGGGGATACTTACCGGCGGACTCGGCGCTGGTTTTACTCCAGGTAGTACGATTACCAGCCACGATTTAATGGCCGAGAATTCTCACTCGAGCAACACAGCTTCTCGTCTCTCCCGTCGTCTAACTCTACGAAATGGTCTCACTCGAGCCCCCACACTCAAAGATCTTGCTCAAAACGAAGCCAACAGACGCGGCGAGGTAATCGAAGTCATTGTTCAAGAACATATCGATGCACCTGTTGATATCAGTTCCTTTGCCGGGCACACCGGAATGCATGAATCGAGTTTCGATTTCAAGAGTATGGATTCTCTGCCCTCAACCATCAACAAAAAAGCCACGTTCAAAAGTTCCAACGTGGAAGTATTCTACCCCCAAGCAAACTGGAAACCCTTTTCCATGCGCGCTCCCTACCTCACCGCACTCATCATTATCTCTGTGGTCCTCGGCGCCGCGGAAGAATACCTCTATCAGAAATCCCGCAAAATTCCTCTCTACTCCTTCACATCCGCATCTGCGATGAAGACGTGGGATTATTTTTGTTTCAAATATCTGCCTACTCTCGTCGCCGTTATCTTTGGCGTGTTATGGCAAATCACCGATTTTGAAGTCAAGCGTCTAGAGCCCTATTATCAACTTTCTAGAGAAGGCGGTGCGTTGGCCGCGGAATCAATTAATGTGGATTATATTACCTTTTTTAACGTCTTGCGTCCTTTTCGCGCGTTGCAGTTTAAACATTACGCGGTGGCTGTTTCGTCCATCGCGACTTTATTAGCTGTATCTCTCGTTCCGACCCTGCAATCCGCAAGCGTGATATTAATCCCGAGTCGGGAAATCAGAAGAGCAGATCCAACCGTACTTAAAGGAATCGTGATTAGTGGTCCCTGGTCTCGCTTACTCAGTCTCTCGCTCTGGCTCTGTGCTATCTTCGGAGGTATCCTACTCTGGCAGTTGGAGCGGCGCCCCTCGGGTCTCGTGGCCGATGTCAAAGGGGTTGCTGGAATCGCCGCCATGGCGAATCGCTCGCATATCCTGATGGATTTCAAAGACATGGATACCGCGACTCCGGATATGATTCATCAGAAACTAAAAGCGCATCACTACACCCTACGCAATTCGTCTCTCGCCCCCTCAGACCAAATCCTCACTCAAGCAGACAAAGATAAATACGATGCCCATTCCCACGCCTCTCAAAACCCACATCCCCTATTCCTCCGTCTCATCGCCGGCATCCCCTTCATAATCTCCATGTTCTTATTTACCCTCCTCATCCCCATCATCCTCTTCACCCCCGCCAACACCCTCACCGACAAAGCCCCCTGGCTCCTCACCCTCGGCGCCGTCTCCATCAAACTCTGCTGGGGCAGTCTCGAAACCGCCATCCGCATGATCGAACCCTTCTACATCCTCTCTCTACGCCACGCTTCCCCCACCGCCCTCACTCTCGACTACACCGCCATGGCATTCGGCTGGCTTCCCATCCGCGCCTTTCTCAACGGTCACTATCTCGTCGCCGTCGTAGGACTCGGCTCCGTCCTCGCGGAAATCCTCACCGTCTGCGTCACCAGTTTCAGTACCGTCACCGGAAACGATTTCACTCGCTCCTCCTCCTCTTCCTCAAACACCCCCTCCAGCAACGTCGACGCGGGCGAAGAAACCTTCGCCTCCTTCTGGGCCTCTCTCTTCCTCGCCCTCTCCATCCTCGTCTTCCTCATCTGCATTTCCATCCTCTCTTACACGCGTCGCCGCCATCCATTTCTCCCCCGTCAACCTAGTTCCATCGCCTCCATCCTGGCATTTATCTATCAATCGAATATGCTGTATGATTTTGTCGGGACGGAGAAACTCAACAATCGCGAGATGGAAGAGAGACTGGTGGGGATTGGGAAGAGGTATGGATTGGGCTGGTTTAAGGGGAGAGATGGCGAAATGCATTGTGGGGTTGATGAGGAGGAGTTGAGTGCGAGGTATGCGCATGGAAGGGATTTGAAAGCGGTGAGTGAGCCGTGGAGAGGTAATTGGCAGGATTATTAGGGGGGAGGGGTGGAATTGAGTAGGAAAGATTTAGCATGGTTTAGTGAGCGTATATCGACATTTAATGAATGGATATGTATACATAATCTTACATTCTAATATACCATACCATACTATACTATTTAAATTAATGATAATAATGATGGGACTTCAAAACTCATATATAACTACCTAGATATCGAGTATAAATGATGAATTATAAAAACGTGTAACTTATATATCAAACATTCTCCTTTACATACAATCAGAAATATAGTTTTTCAATCATAAGATTTCTACTATCTACTATCTGCTAGATACTATATATACTATATAGTATGCGATACCTAGATTCTGGTACTTCCACTCCTTCTATCTTAGTGAAATTTTCAAGCATGGTATCTCCAACGGTAGGTTCACTCACTCACTCATCCTATATATTAATCAGCATCATAGACTATCTTCTTCATTTACATTTATCTTTTTATTTATATTTTCTGAAAAATCACTTCCTTCCCACAAAATACTCTCACCTTCATCCCGCTCCCCTTCATCCTCACCCCCCTCACCCCCCTCACCCCCCTCGCCCTCATCTCCCTCCATCCCCTCACAAAACCTTCAGCCCCCCATCTCCCCCCGCCCCAAGCACATCAATTCCCATCTCCTTCCCCCCAATCCCTTTTCCCCCCTCCCCCTCCCCCACTCCACCCCTCCCCCTACTCCTCCTCCTCGCATCCAAATAAACCATAAACTCCCTATAACTCTCCGGCAAAACCTGCACTTCCCCCTCCACCTCAAACGTATAATTAAACTGTCCTGTCGGTTTCGTTTCTCCATGTTCGACATTTTTAACCTTTGTATCTACTCTTATTTGCACCCTCGTTTTCTTTCCTTTTCCTTTCCCCTCATCATTCCCATCAGAATTTCCGATCTCGGCAACCCCCTCCCCCTCCCCACTAACCAGCGGGCGATCCCCATACGCTAGCGTAGCACTCACATACAGGACACTTCCCACCGGTACCGGATTCTCAAAGGTACTCGGATCCAGACCGAGAAAAATCGGACGCGAATGCGAAATGGCGGATGCGCAGGTAAAAGCGAGTTCGAAAGTGGATTTGAGGAGGAAACCGCCGAAGATCATGAAGTTGTGGCGGTTGCGGTATTGGGGCTGCATGATTTGGACGGATTGGATGGTGGAGGCGGACATGCGGGTGCAGGTCTTGGGGAGGAGGGAGGGGGTGTTGGGGTCTGGGGGGAGGTGGTTAGTGGGTTGGTTTGGTGTGGGGGTGGGTAGAGATAGCTGGGGCTATCTAATGAAATATAGGAAGGTTGAAGGAACTTTCCTGTCTACCTCGTATTTCTAATAAGTAATAACCATGAAATGTCACGCAATCACGGATCTTCCATCATCATCTGCTCCCTACCTAAATTTCAAACAGAATCTCTCAACACAAAAGGAAAAGAAAGAAAACCCCAATCCCACATACCATGATAATCCAACGTCTTCAACCACAATCTATGAATCAAATCGCTCTCCTCATCATCCGGCTCCATACTCCTCAACCCGCGTCCCAACTCCCTCTTCTTCTTCTCATAACTCTTCCTACCCCTCTCAAACCAACTTTCCTCCACATCCCCCTCCGGTCTCACCCCCGCAATCCTCACCGCCTTCTTCGTAACCGGATCGAGCGATACCATGGTAAACGCACATTCCATGAAAACATCTTCTTTCCTCCTAGGTTGATGTTCCTCTCCCGCAGAAGGGACTTTGCATACTTGTAGCGAGACTTCCATGCTAGAGCGTCCGGTAGCAAAGGTAACTTGGCCCGATAACTCGAGGTCGCAGATTTCGAGGAGGGGTCGAGAGAGCGTGATGCGGTCGACGGCGGCGGTGACGGTCATGACGCGTTCGCCGGTATGTTTGTAGGAGATTACTCCGGCGAGGGCATCGAGGTCCTGATGTGAGTGTTGGTATTTTTATTTTTATTTTCCTCCCTTTCAAGCATCTCATCTCCTTGCTCTTCATGAGTTCTCACAAACTCCATGTAAGACTCTCTCTAACCCCCCTTCCCCCTTTCCTCCTAAAAGACAGAAAACAAACAGAAAAAAACTCACCATAAAAATAGCTCCCAGTCTTATATGTCCACTTGCCGTAATATAATTATCCAAAAGCCAAGGATCGCTTGCTAATGGTAAAATCTACAAAGCACGTATCATTAGCATCTAATCTCTTCTTCTTTCCTCCTTTCCCTCATAAATTCTTGTTGTGAGAAGAATAGTTTTCCAAGAAGTCAAGAGTATCAATCTCCTTCTTTGGTATCAAACATCAGATATCAGAGGTCAGAAATCACATGATCTCTCACACTCTCCTCTCCACCCCTTCTTCAAATTTCCCCCCTTTCCAAACTCAATTCCCTCTCCCATCTCATCTCATCTCATCCCATCCATCCCATCTCCCCACCACCAAATCCCCCACTCTCCACTCTCCACTTCCCACTCCCCCAACTTCCCAAAAGCCATACAGAACAACAAAAAACTCACAAAAAATTGAAGAAGAAAAAAGACTCACCACCCTATGAAAACTATCCCTCATACTCTTCATTTCCAATCCCTCTCCTTCTCCCCCTCCTCCCTTCCCCCCATCCACCTTTCCCTTCTCCCCCACCTTCTCCCCCTCCCCCACAACCCTCCCCGCCTTCTTCCCCTCCTCCCTCCTCCACGCCTCAATAAACGGCACCCTCGTCCTCATCGCCGTCAACTCCCTATAAACCCCATCCGTTTCCCTCCTCGTCCCCATCGAAAAACTCCTCACATAACCATCGCGAACCTGATTTCCCCTTCGCATACATAATCGCCCTAGCGCATTCATCGGAATCGGAATCTTCAATCTTGTTATACTCGTCATTCTTGGGATTCGCGGAGTGGCAGTCAAGATGGAGATGAAAATGAGAATAGAGTATGTATCAGCCAGCTAGGTAGGTAGCCGATCACTTAGTTATGTAACGTGATAATTGTAATTCATCGACGTATTCAATTCAATTCAATTCAATTCAATTGAGGTTACACCAACAAACAATCAAACAAATGAAGGAGTCACGAAACTCCCTACAATTATATCCCTCACTACAGCTCGGTTAAGTTTGTCCTTCACACGGAAAATAACGGGATTGGATTAATCTTAGATAGATAGCCGGGAAAGCACCTATTTGTTATATATTCTCAAAATCAATGACAACACCTGCAAAATCTCACATAGCATTGGAATTTAATCCAACATAATTGTGCATTCCGAAGTCGAGAATTAATACCTACTTAATCATATCCACTCAATTATACCCATCTCAATCTTGTACCTTTGATGTATAGATGTAAGTATAGGCATGAGTATAGACAGATCATACTTTTGCATATGTATCTACCTAGGTGGGTAGGCATATTCTTCTTATATATCAATCTACTCAGTAGCAAGTCTTATATTCATTCAAGTTACATACATCATATTCACATACATGCACCTCACCATCAATCAATCAATCAATCAAACCTCTCTCCCCTCAATTCAGTCTTCACAATTCGCAATCCTCACGATCCAGATCACACATCAAAGATCCAATTCACAAGAGCAAAAAAATGTATCAAGAATTATTCGATATAAACCCCCTTAAAGCCCAAACAAACAAACAAAGCCCACATAACTTTCCCTCCCAAGTAACACCTTGCCTACAATAAAACAATGCAACCAGCTTCTCCATACCGCATCACCTAAAACTTCCTCTTCTTATATGTACCTCCTTGTTTAGGTTGACTTCCATAAGGTCTCTTCTTCTGTGCGGTATCCTTCATTCCAGCGGAGATATTTATGTCGACTCTTGGAGGGGCATCGAATCCAAAACTCTTAGCGACCTTGATCAAATCCAACTTTCCTACATCAAAGACACTGCGGAGGGAGTGACTTGCGTAGGCTTGAAGATAACTCTTGTAACCTTCCTTGGCGCTCTTATTTAAGTAGTAGTTTTGTGCGATTAATTTCGAGAGTTGACTTTGGATATTGACGATTTTTGATGCTGGGAATTCGAATTCGACTACGGGAATACGAGCAGTCTTGAGATGGGTAAGGAAACCGACTTCGGATGGTTGAAGGAAGAGAAGGGAGCGACCCTTTCCGTGGCTACCTCTAGCAGTTCGACCGACACGGTGAATATAATCTGTCGGGTCATCGGGAGGATCGAATTGAATGACCCAGTCTACATCGGGGATCTATCGAAGATACATTAGCTTTGTCAATTGGGATAAATCGAGTAAAATACTTACATCAAGACCTCTAGCTGCAACATCTGTGCAGATAAGTGTACCCTGTTTAGCATTACAGAATTCAAAAAAGGTATTTGTACGTTTTTGTTGCTTCTGTTTGCCATGCAAGTCGAGAACTGGTAAATCGATATAATTGAGAAGTTCGGCGTGATATTTAACACAAGCGCAACTGGAGAAAAAGACTATAATCTTCTTCTTAAGGTTACGCTTGAGGAAAGAAAAGAGTAAGAGAAATCGTTTATCCGAATCGCATACGACGTAACCTTGTTCGAGACCTTCAACTGTACTGTGTTCCTTCTTGTTATCGACATTGATGTAAAGAGGTCCTGGACGAAGGGAAATTCTTGCGAGATCTTCGACTTTGGTAGTTTGCGTTGCAGAAAAGAGCATGGTTTGCCGATCATCCTTTGGTAAAACCTTAACAATTTGCTTCATCTCATCTTCGAAACCAGCTTCCAGAATTCGATCCGCCTCGTCGATAACCAATGCCTTCAAGTTCTTGAAAACAAATCCTTGTGTATTTTGTAAATGATCGAGAAGTCGTCCTGGTGTAGCAATCAAAAGATTGACTCCCTTTGCCAATTTCTCCGCCTCTGCTCTTCGATTTGCGCCACCCATAACAATACCATAAGTTTGCGAATGATGAGCCATGATTTCCCTTGCGACTCCAAAAATTTGCAATGCCAATTCTCTCGTAGGTGAAACGACAATAACACCGGTACCATTTCTCGGTTTGAATCGCAAAGAATGTAACATCTCAACCGCAGGAATTAAGAAGGACAAGGTTTTTCCGGAACCCGTTTTTGCAGCACCGAGGACATCTCTTCCTGCCAATAGTGGTGGGATACCCCTTCGTTGAATTTCGGTCATCGTCTCAAATTTCATGTCTTCGACGAGGGCTTTCATGGTTTTATCAGAAAGGTTAAGTTCTGAGAACTTTTCGACCGACGACGCATCTCCGACATTTGGTAAAGTCAAGTGCTTATTCTCGTCCACCTCCACCTCTACATCACTTTGGTAATCGGTCGTGGAACCCATTTTGAATGTCGATTGTGATTTCGTGCAGTGAGATTGATATGGATGGATGCGAAGTCAAACTTGACGAGAGCGATTGAAAATTATTTTTATACGCTAAGAAGTTGAGATAAGAATCTGCATTGGGGCTTATCCATTGGTCGAAGATTAATCCACAGTGAGTGTGAGATTCAGCAATTGAGTCACGTGAGTCCAGGATTCGACCTTCTAGACAAGCTCGAGACATGTCCCAGATCTTCATGTTCTCTAATTCATACACTACGAGATCAATACATCATGTTTTCCCATTCTCATATCTCTCTTGTCTCTTCTTCTCAAAGATCTATTAATACATTCATAACCCCTCTCCCTTTCACAAAATTAAGAACAGAAGATCATTCATATTTACTCGCCCAGGTATTCAGATTCTTAGGGTTATCCTCATTCTGGTCATCAAACTCCTTGCAATTGACTGTTGGTTGTAATTGTGTGTATTGAGTATTTGATTCTTTTATACAGGTTTGTTAATTCTCCTTCCTATCTCGAATCCTCTCATCACCTATTCATTCATCCACCTCCCCCCCAGACTCCACTCTATTCCTTCATTTAACCCCCTCATCCAACCCTTCTATCCTTCACATATATCCACCACTGCAATTCACACCTCTATCACCATCTCTCCCATATCCACCATTCATCCTCCATACCATCTCTTCCTCACGATCCAACAAGCACAAATGAAACAGACCAATTCAATAACCTCCCTCCGAGTCCCATTCCCAACACAAGAAAAAGCCCAATTGCAAGACTGAACCAAAAAGCAAGGCAAAGATAAAGAAAATCCACTCTTGAAAAGAGTACTGTGTCACTTAAGACTTTATGATCCTAATGCAAAAAAAAACGAATCGAACAAGAGAATTACAAAATAACACCTTCCAACCCCAAAGATTTCCTCTTTGATGGTGTTTGTTTTACGTGTAAACACGTTCCCGACTACCATCTATCAACCAATATATTTCAATTCTCAACGCCTTTTTATGAAGCCCCTTCATTAATGATCATAACCTGCTCCACGTTGCCAAGGACTATTGTATTATTAGCTTGTGTCTATATCTGGAATTTGATATAAGCTCTTACCTAGCATTGCTCTGGTTCTGATTCTGTTGTCTGAACCCCCCTGGTGCAGGACTACCACTGTTTTGTGATCTATATCCTGTCGACAGATTAGATGTCGATTGATTATCTCTATATGGAGCTGGCGATGCGTTGTTTGATCTATCACTTCCATACATCAAAGGAGCATTGCTGTTTGGTCGTCCATCTTGATAATTTGGTGGTGGACCACGAGAGTTGGTTGCTGGGAAAAGAGGAACCGAAGGATCGATAGGTGAATTAGGTGCTTCTCTAACTGATGGGTTCGTATCTCTATATGCTCCTGTACCGGCTGTAGAAGGTGGAAGTGGCGTGTTTGCGGGGTTTCTCATAGAATCCGAGGACCATGAATCGTTGTCATCATCTAAATCGAGGTTGTGTTTGTATCCAGCTTTATCGCCTCTAGCGGTAGCTCCCAAAGCATCCAACTCGGTAGTCAAGCCAGTGTTTGACTTGATGAATGATGCACGATCATCAGTCATTGGCAAGTAACGACTGTCTGGGTTCTTGCGGATAAAAGCATAGATCGTAGCAAGTAAAACAAGAATGAGAAGAACCAAGGAAAAGACGGCGTTGATGATGAAGAAGATAACCCCCATAACACCAGTGACGATACCAGGTTGATTGAAAATATCCGTGAAAACCAAAAGGAAAATAGTATTTAAGAAGTTGATGGCACAAATGGCGATATTGAAAGAATTGGTACTTCTGTCCATCCATGGTCGAATGACACTAGCTCCAATCAAAGCCGCTGCTTCAATCAAAAGAAGAGCAATAGCTTGAACTGTAGATGCGTTTTGTCCGAATGCAATGAACATTCCCTTGATCAAAATGTAGATCAACGTTGGAAGGATGAAATAATAAGCCGTTGCTCTAAATTGGACGTAAAGGAAACCCCACTTGTTGAGAGCCGAAGGATCAGAGTAGAGAATGTAAGCTGGGTTCTTGTGCATCAAAACCGATCGTTTGGCGATTCGAACAACTTTCATAGCTGCCCAAGCGAGAGTACCTGTCATACCAAAGAAGAAGAAAATGGCCAAAACAATTTCTGCGGGCGAATCATTTTGGGTGAACTCCCAAAGACATAAAATGGTCATCTGAGGGTATCCAATAAGAACCATGCGGAACATGATACCCTTGAGAACAGTGAACCATCCATTACGGAAATCCAGGAATTTGTCAGATTTCATCCACTTCATTCTAACCGCAAGTTCACAGAATCCCTTGAACAATGCAACAAATAAAATGGTGAAAACGATAAAGATACAGAAGAAAGCAAGACCAGTCAAGAATAAATTGGTCGATTCGATACCGGCGCGGAATGCTACTCTCTTAACACCTTTGACAAGGTATGAACCAGTTGTTGTCGTGGTATCGGCTCGTTTCGTCAAGACTTCGTGTGCTCGAGTGAGAAGTTTAATGGTATGTTCGACTGATCTCTTTCCGATAGAACGTTTCTCGACTTGAACGGAGGTAGTGGTTAAAGTGTTCAAGAGTGTGGCTGGAGTTCCACCAGTAGACTTTTGATACCAAGTTGCAATGCTTTGCATGAAATCAACCTCAATTATACCCATGCTCCAATCAAAGTTTTGAGTCCACGATTGAACAATAGGTGGAAGAGGAACAGCAGTGAGTCCGATCATGGCTTGGGCTTGGAAATAGCCAAAGAGTGACAAGGCGTTGGATGCTACATGAGCAGCAGTGTTTGAATGACCCAATCCAGATGTTACAGCAGAAGCTACCAAAGCCAACCCAGCGATAACAGCAGTTGCCCATCCTACACCCTTTTGATCGACAGTTTGTCCGTTGGATAATTGGGCTTCGACACATGCCAAGCTAACGTCTGGGTTCGCTGTACCATTGATAATCACTTTAACATTAGCATCCAAATCCGGTACTCCGTATGCGATTGATGGAATACTATCAACGGTAGATTGAGGAACAACAATGTTAGATTGAATATCGATTTGACCAGTACTCATTGGGCAGAGACCAGAGAATCCAGAGGTACATGGATCGATGACCCGATTTAAAATGGGATATCCGTACGCCGTGACTTCAACATCGAAAGTAACATTTCCTTGAATCGAAGAGACACCCACTACATCGAATGTGAAGGTTAGATTTCCAGGTGTGAAGACGACATCGAATAATGTTGCCGTGAAACTCGAGTTGTCCTGACACGCGTTCAGGGACTTGGATTCAATTAATCGAGTGGATGCTGATGCGCAAGATAAGAGAGTAAGAAATGAAGTCAATAAGACCCATGGTGACGATGAGAATGTCGGTCGCATATTGAAAGATTGCAAGATTAAAAGGAGCCTGTGAAGGCTTTAAGGTAAGAAGAATGGATTCCGTAACACCCGAAGCCTTTTAATTGTGCGAAGAGGAAGCTTTGTACTGAGTAATGAATTGCTTTTCCTTCCTTCAATATATCCTTAATCGCAACCCCTTTGTATATGACCGTCTTTCGATGGGATAATTCAATTGATTGATCGGGTTGGTAAATATCGTAATAGGTGAATGAGGAATGGTTTCGTCACTGTTTTTCTTTCTTCAATACTCCAAAAAGGCCGACAAAGATTCTATTATTGAATCATTGACAGACTTGGAATGATTAGCGACCGTAAGTAATTTCGTAGATCCAGCTCACGAGGGATTTTTTGTTGATAAACGAGGGAAAATGTATCTCTGCGAAAAGAGATAGAAATGACGACGAGTTGTTTGTCGGAAGAAGAGAGAAATAACGAAAGGAGGTCGACGACTAGGTTTGATGACCTGGTCTGTTGTTGGTGGTCGTCGATTTGGGGGAAATTTAGGAGGGAAATTTGAGGAGTGGGTGGTGGTAGTAGTGGTGGTGGTAGCGGTGGTGGTGGGTAGGTGGTTGATGAAAAGGTTAAAAAAAGAGGAAAATGAAATGGAGGAGAGGCGGAGGAGGATGGAGATGGTGGAGGCGTAGTTTTTTTCTCGCAGTAGTGAGAGTTAAGGTGGTAGTAGTAGTAAATAATAATAGTAATAAGGTAGTGAATGAGTGAGGTGAAAGATAATAAAGTTTCAAGGTTTAGTAAGGTTTTAGGTATGAATTAAGTGAATGGTCGAACTTGTATTTTTTTCTTTCTTTTTCTTTCTCTCTTTCCTCTCTTCTCTCTTCTCTCTTCTGTCTTCTCTCTCTTCTCTCGTTTTTTTTAGTGGTAATATGTAATATGTAAGAGACGCCCAGGTGGTGCCGAGTAAGAATTGTTATTAAAGGGAGGAATGAAGGGTCAGATTCCCAATCAATGAATTTGGTTAGTAGGCCTTTGAGCTTGGAAAATGCGTACTAGGAAGTAATGTAAAAGTAATGTAGGGTAATGTAGAGAAACCTCGTATTGAAAATAGTCAACAGAGCAGCAAAATAGGTATGTTTGTACGGGAACGAGTTGATGTGAATGAATGAATGAGTGAGTGAGTGAGTGAGAATGAGGATGAGTTGATTAGTATGACTATGAGTATCGGTATTGTGAATAGTAAGAATAGAATCAATTAATGATTGTTCGTGTGATTAATCGTTCCCGTTCACTCTATCATTCATTCCAGTTTCCCATTTGATCTAATAACTTTCCTAACCTTCCACCTCACAATCAGTTAAACCCAAGAGAAAACTATTCATTCATTCTCTTCTACTCAAGAGTACCTAAGAATGTCCGAGAATTCCGTATAATTTCTCCCTCCTTCTTTCCTTCTTTCCTTCTTTTCCAAATTAAAGTAATGACCTCGGGAGCGTGATTAATCAGAGGTGGCTGAGTTGATATTATAAGATTGAGATGAGATGAGAGGTATCGTATGCTGTTGTCGTATATTGCGTGTCTGTAAGAGTGTTTGGACTTCGGAATTCGTATGCCGGGTTGATTTGAGTTAGTAATTATGAAGGATGCTGCAGATATATTGAATGGATTACATCTACAGGATGGGTAGTTACTTTGTAGTAATATCCAAAAAGTATAAGTTACATCGAATTTAACATGACTCCCTTCTCAATATCCAAAGAGTATAACTATAATAAGGAATCTCTTTTCCCGTCTTCCTATTTTCCATCTGCCGTCCAATGACTTATTACTTACTACCTTCTCACATCCATTTCCTCTTCTTCCCATCCCTCTCCCTCTCCCTCTCTTCTCCCTTGTGTAATATAACTCACTCGCCATCTCCCCTTGTCTAGACCCAATCTTCCTCACGGAATATGGGGATCTGTTCTGGCAATCCAACAGAAGAAAAAAGATTCCAGGGGTTAACATCAACGGGCTCTAGAAGAGGACCTACAAAGTACCTAGTAATGTATAAAATCACCCCCAAAACAGGGGCAAAAATATGCAAGATTCAACGAAACTCTGGGCGCATGGAGATCTCGAAGAAAAGATTGGAGAAGGAAAACTGGATTTATGCTCCGTAATTTGAGTCCGACTTTTGTAACAGATGGAGTATCGATATCAAGAGATCTGAACAGTGAATGGGGAGAAATTGAAACTGGAATTGAAATTACTGTTAGAGTTTTCATTTTGCTTTGGAGGATCGTAGAATAAATGGATAATCTACAACTACCCAAGATTCAATTCTCTAACTCCTCATCCGTCAGATATGTGATATGTAACCCCAATCCTCCAGACTGCAAACGGCGGAAGAGCGATATTGATTTCAGATGTGTATCGATCGTTTTTCTTTCAGACTCATGTGTCTTGGTAATATATGTCCCTACGACGAAACTAGCTGAAATCAAAATCACCTCGAATGAATCAAATGAACCCATCCATAGACCCTCTCTATTATCCCATTTCATTTCATCCAATAAAATCATCTCATACTCACTTATTAGCACTTACCCCTCCGTTTACTGATTACTTAGGTATTCTTCTCGTATTCTTCAAATCCTATCAAATCTCATTAATGAAATCTCCCTACGAGTAAAACACCCCTCAGTTCATCTTGGCATTGTTTCTAGATTTCCATACCGACATACACATACCTACCTACCTAAACATCAAATACAATCCAAGCCAAGAAAAATCATCAAGTCTCTTCCTTCAATATCGTATTTATCTTCGTCTGATCTCCATCTCATGCCATCTCATGCCAACTTTTCACACTCCCCCTCTCGAATGGATCATCAGCATCCAAATATCAAAACATCACTTGCCACAAGCCATCAAAACCTAAATGATCACATCACCATACATACATGCATCTCCATCCGTATGCAACGCCTCATGCATCATGACATCCGTGTACAGTACAGTACAGTACAGTTCACTTCCGTTCCGGTTTCTAGACCAACCAACGAATGCCTGGCCGTTGGTCTAAAATTATATCAGCGAGATGCATACTTAGGTAGGTTAGTTTTTAGATATTATAGGTAGGTGGGTATTCCAGAAATGATTTCATACCGTGTTCTATAAATTCATTTTGTTGATTCTATACCACACAAAGAATATATCAAGATTCTTCACTTGACCCCTATCGATAATTCTAGACATTTCCAAAGAAATAGCTCTTCAAATATACAATCACCTCGCTCGAAATCCATCTCTCAATCCACAACCATCGGCAGTTCCTCAATATCTCTCTCTCAATCCCATCTGCCAACATACCTACTAAGATACCTAAGAATGCTATGCATATCAAGTACATACCTGTCTACACATCAAATCCACAAGCACAAGCACAAACACAAAGAAATCAAAAAAACACAAAACAAGACTCGTAATGTTCGCTCGCAGCACAGCCTCCTTATCATTTCATACAAACCATAACTACGATCAAATTATAATTATCCCTCCATTCATTCATCCATTCGAAACCCTCAGATTCTCTCTATATATAGTTATAATTATAGTTATAGTTATATATGTAAAAAATTATACGAGATATTTACATATATGCATCACTATATAAAATCTCACTCCCAACACATTCTAGACTAAAAACACCGCAAGTCATTCAATCCAGTCCACTCCAATCCAATGCACAGTGACTAACTTACTCTACCCTACCTTAATTGATATTCGACCCAATTCTCACAGTCCGTCTCATCCGGACTCCAGGTGCTTACATTATTTCATGATCTTCACGAATTCTCACCAACTCTCACAAATTTCCTCTATAACGTGGTTTATCATCGAGTGGCCTATATCATCAAGTAGCCCACTTTCATCTCAATTCACACCTATCTCTTTTAACATATATTTTATTAACAATCTATAATGAATTCGAATAATCAAAAAGCTTGTACACTCTTTATTATTAAAGCTATTTATAAAGATAAAAAATTAAGTATTCGAAAGGTTGTTATACTCTATAATATTCCTTATACAATTCTTCAATATAAAATAAAAGGTTTACTTCTTTATATAGAAACTCAAGCGAATCGTTATAAGATTATAAAATTAAAAGAAAAGATGATTGTTTAATATATACTTAATATAAATTTAAGAGGATTTTCATCTAAATTAAAGAATATAGAAAATATAGCGAATAATATTCTCGAATCAAGGGGTACGAAATGTATTAGGAAGCTTTAAGTACATTGATTTGTAAAGCATCAAATCAAATTAAAGATACATTTTAATTATGTTTATAACTTTTAAAGAACTCTTTATAAAAATTCTAAGCTTCTTAAAGAATGATTTTGATTAATTGTAAATATATGAGCGAAATATAATATTTTGAATGGATATTTCTATAATTTCGATAAAACAGACTTTATAATAAGGATTATATGTATAGCAATAATAATAATTAGTATTAAACGAAATGGCAGAAGTAAGATAGTACAATTAGGTAATCAAGAATGGGCTATAACAATAATATATAGAAATGAAAAGAATGAAACTATTCCTTTATTTTTAGTAGTTTAAGGATAAGTTTATCTCTTCAATTGATATATTAAAACAAATCTTTCTATGAAATGAATTATTAAATCTATATTTAATAGATGAACAAATAATAAAACGAATTTAGAATAATTGAAATACTTCAATAAGTATATTAAGAATTGAAAAAAGAGTAAATATCGAATATTAATACTAAATGGGCATAAAAGTCATAAATCAATAGCTTTTCAAATATACTATAAAGAGAATGATATTATATATTTATATTTATTATTATATTCAAATCATTTAATTCAACCATTTGATATTAATTATTTTAATAATCTAAAACGTTCATATAATGATCAAATTGATAGATTTATTAAGGTATATATTAATTATATTTTAAAGATTGAATTCTTTATAGCTTTTAAAGCTGTATATAAGGAATCAATTACTTTTTAGAATATGAAATCAAAATTCTAAGGAATAGGTTTAATTCTATTTAATTTTGAAGTTATATTTTTGAAATTAGATATTCAAATTCATATATTTACCCCTCTCTCTTTCAACCTAGATTAATGAATCTCTCAAACCCCTTGTAATTCAATAAAAGCTCTTTTTTAATCAATATTAGTTAAATCTCGAATAACTTGTTATTAATTAAGTTTTCTTATATTTATATTCAAAACTATATTAGCTCTAATTAAAGGTACAGAGAGATTAGCTTATAAGAATATACTTTTAAATATAAAGAATTATATATTTCGGATAATAAATGAGATATTAAGTAAGTATTAATATGTATAAAAAAACTTAATTATATTAAGGAGGAGTGCTTATTGGACAAAAGGCTCTTAATATATTATTTTAGTAAAAGATTGATATTTAGATTTAATATAATAAGTATTAAAAAGGAGGGAATTCTAATAGGGAAGTATTTTCTAATTAATATTATAGTAAATATAGAAAGACAGAGTATAATATAAGAACCTGTCAAAATAATATAATAGATCCTAGATTATTAGATTCTTAATAATTTTAATCAATTGATTTAATTATTATTGAATAATATGGGTTTGAAAGTGTAAATTGAGGTGAAAATAGGCTACTTGATGATATGGGCCACTCGATGATAAACCACGTTAATTCTTTTCGATCTTGTAAAATTAATCATCACATATACTTACTCATCTCATCCCACGCACCACGCAATATACCAATCACATATCATACACACTATCACATGACAAATTACCCTCCTTAGTACACTCTCTCGAGACACCATATTCCCCAACTCCCCAGCGCCCCCTCTCCAAATTACAACCGTCGTCGATCAAACAATCCTCAAACTCTCTAACCCTCTCTCTGACCTTTCCTCAAATGCCTCAATGTGCGTACGGATCTTGTGTCAAAACTTTCTTTATATATCATGTCATTGCTATTAATTACTGTGTAAAAGTTTTACAGTATAGGTATGGTATTGTAGAGTATGTTGTGGTACATCTGATTTCCTTTAATTTGATCTGATATAGGTAGGTTACAATCCGATGAATTGATCGATGAATTGATCAACAGCGAATGAGAACTTTCTTTCAGATGACTGTCTATCCGCTCATTCAATAACCTACGCTGTACATATCATCCAAAAATCAAGCAATCGAAGAAGAGGTCTTTTGCTCTTCTTCGGATTTCTACCTAAGGGTCGAATAAAAGAGCGAGGTTTCAAATCCGATTCGAGATTCGGAATCCTGTGGGTGGTGAGGGATAACTTTAGGTGTAAGTGCTTGGGATTGGAATCGATTGGATTGGAATGGAATGCTGGGTTGTGATGGATGGCCGGCGGTTATTTTTAGGTGCGAAGGGATGGTGGGTGGATGAATGGGGATGAGAAGGTGAGGGATCACGTGAGAAGGGGGTGTGAGTGGAATGGCTCGAATGGGTGGTGGGATGGGTGAGAAAGATTCCGGTACAAATGTAGGTTTGTGGATTTAGATGATGATGGGAATAGGTCTCTTTTCAATCGGATTGCATATGGTCTGTCTCTCTTGGGTAATGGAGGGAAGGAGAACTTCTTCTGTGTTTATATTGTGTTTAATGAGAAACTTGGAAGCATTAAAAAGTTGAAGATTGGATGGAAACGATGGTATACTTTCTTATCTTTTATTCTCCTTTCATCACTTTACTTCTTCTTCTTGGTCACATTACACATGGTCTGCCCCCACGGCAGTGGCCCCCGGAGGGCCAGCGGAGCGTCATTCCATTACTTACTTGTCTAAGTAGACTGTTGGGTTGGTAGGTTGGTTCTATTTGATATCGGTGTGCTGTATCATCAAGGTATGAAATGGAGACTGGTTCGTTTTCATTGAGTATTAACATGGCTTGAATTAGTGTTCAGTCTTCTTTAATTTTCTGTCTCGTTTCTTCACTTTTGCCCTGATTGACTTTGCAAGTGGGCTAAGTGGGAATCTTTCATATCTCTCCAAAGGTGTCCTCTTTTTTTCGTTCGAAAGATCGCAATGCCGTCTAGTTCAAAGTTGGGGCTTATTATTTCATTCATGATACTTTAGTTTTCAATTCATCTCATCTCGTATCTTCATGTTACGATCAATCACAACGTCTCAACCAACTAAAATTCGAGAGCACTCTTTAGATATTTTCTTGATACAACGATATCGATCTCCCAACATACAACACATAAGTATGTACAAATCGAGCAGGAGAAATATTTTCGATGGTCCAACTGTTGATCCATCAATGCAAATGTTGCAATGAGAAAGCTCACTCAATATCCTGCTATCATAATCTCAACGCCACCAACACACAGTGTATACGATGTACAAGCGGAGATAGATTACGGAGTTATAATGCCGTGCGGTTGGACTATTACGGACTGTGACTTTAAGCCCTAGAAAGGTGTTCGCTGTGACCGAATATTATTCTAACGGTTAGATGATGATGACTAGTCATAATTCATTATCTGAAGAAGGAAAAGAGTGTTTGAAGGAATTTTCTTTTTCATATACTGAGACCTTCTGTATTTGAAACCAGGATTATCAGAAACCACATTTGGTGCAGGTAACAGCAGCCACTGGCTAAGTACCATAATGTAACGTTCCGACACTTTGACTTGTTGCTTCCCGGCACGAATGTCGGCTCAGTTCATGTTCAGAGCTATCCGATTTACTTGATATTCGCGTTCGATATAAAAGTTCTATCGTCGTGAAGGAACTTGACTTTGATCTCATCATACTTTGTTATGTCTGTCGAGCTCGTTCCGGTCCCTTGTGCGAAAATAGCGCATGTTGGGAGTTTGATAGAAGGCGTCTCTCACAAGACGATTGACCAAGTCATTTGTAAGTTCTGCAGTGTTTCTGCTTCGTTTCTAATCGGTATCTTGGTACTGGGGCCACCACCTTTAAGTTAGTTAGCCGATGTTACTCGGATCCATTCGATATGTTTGTTTCTGCTCGGGTCAATGGCTTCGTCAATATGGTGCTGCAGCTTTTAAGGAATCTTGATCTTAAAGCTTTCAATGGTGGATGAGTTTGTGATCTTTATAATGATCTTAGGTTGTGCCTGAAAGAATCATGATATCTGAATAGATTTCGTGATTGGTTTTCTAAGGGATTCGACATTGCTAGTCAACACCAAGGCCTACGAGAACTCGAGGACGGCGTGTGGATTGAATGGTTTTGCGATATCATTCGTCTCTTGAGTCTTGTATGAGGGCGGTTGTTGTTCTTCCCTCCACGGCAGAATTCTTCACGGTTTGGTTGGTCTTGACTGGGCGTGAGGATTTACTGGTGGGTAATGGTATTTTCTTGAAATCTCACTGTTGTGGATTATACTATTTCTGCTGACATTTTGATATAATTGTGGGCAGTTGCAAGGATATTCAAAAAGGTTCTCATATCTGGAGTATTCTGGAACTTGGCAATGAGGACGCTCATAGCTAAGATCGTAGACTTTACCAATTTGCTTGGGTACTGGCCGGTTCCATGAGAGATAGATTTGACCGGATGGGAATGGATTTACTAGTATTTCCGGGATCATGCAATGCAAATAGTTCGGCACCATTTAAATCGCAGTACACATACCCAGCAGCAATGACCTTGTGTGTGCGAATTCCGACCAATCTTGGACGATCGCCAGGAAAATCGACAAGAAAGCATGAAATATAGCCACTGACTCATGCCATATGTATATCGAATTGATTACCTCAGTAACTTCCGTGCCGGTCCTCTTATCGATGCAGCAACTGTTGATCTAGATATATGAATATCAATCACTCCATGCTTGAGTGCAGGTAGATTTGAAGTTGGCAAATCCCGGGTTCTTTGCTGCCTTAAGAGGTTACAGTAGATCACTAAGGCTTACGTCGTCGGCATCTCCGACCCAAGGGGATGGGATAGCGTGATCTTCGAGGGGCGGGCAATGGTACCGCCGGAGACAAATATTGCCATCGGTCTTGAATATACCAACGTCCATGAGGTAGTTGTTTAGACCTTTTGTGATTTGTGAAGTCACAAATGTGGTCATGAATGTGACTTCAGTACAATAACGGACCAGTTACAAGCGATCAAACCCTCGATGGTCTTCGAGGATGATCATGCTCGAATAGGGGACACTTCGCTTGTCTTAGCATTGTCCATGATGCTATTACCAGGTCATCTATAGAGCATTACGGTTTTACATCGGAGGATTCCCTACGGGTGTAGTCCTCACCCTATGAGTACCGAAATAGATCATCAGATGTCAAGCTTGTATTTCAAGCTTAAAGTCAAGCGTTGTTCCGATCAACTATCGAAGGTTTCTTGGCAGATTGTCACTCTAGATCTTTGTATGCGCTCCATAAAGTTCTGCAAGCCTAGGGTCTTGGCTGTTGAGACTGCGTTTTGTGCTCAAGATGAAACTGAACCCTTACTTACTTCCTGCCCTACCCAATATGGGAAATATTCTGAAAGTCATATTTTCATTATCTTATTCCTGCCCGCAATGGCTCGTTCTCTGCCACGTTACTCATATCACTGCAAAATTGAATTCGTTGACCTTTGGATTGAATTATGGCTGTGGAAATTGCATTTCGTGCAATTCTGTTTCATTACTGGCTCGTGCATTGTATTGGGGACGCGGGGATTAACCTGAACAATTTATGAGTAGTACCTATACATAAGATGATCTAGTACTTGGGCGTTCTTCCTCATACTATATTCGTTTGTCTAGAGAAAATGGCGGTTCTTCCCACTACTCAATGGAGTGAGCATATCGACGTCAGACTTTAGCACTGATCGAGAAAAACTTCCTCCTGTTTTTCAGATCACCATGGGCAACTCTCTTTCGCGCATTGATCCTGCCAATATTTTTCACCGCATTATTCTGTTCCGGTGGAAAACTCGCCAATATTGCATTCACGACGAACGAAGGTGGAAGTGCCGACTTTTCTCAGCAGATTAGAAGTCTGAAACAAGCCCTGGATGGGGTTCCCCTCAAGAAACTGGTTCTATGCCGGAATGAACTCAATTCGATCATAGACACTGCAGTACAAGGCCTCAGCTTGGACAGGTGGGTTGCGATTGACGACGTGGACGACTTGTATTACAATTGTCTACAATCACTGAATGGCATATCCGACTGCTTCGCTGCTATCATCTTTACCTCAATCAATGCTATCAATGTTGATTATATCATCGCCACCGACAGCGCTACAAGCATATCGAGTACCGACTTTGCATAGCATGCATCCTTGAGCAACGATCGCCTCCTGCCATTACAATGGGCTATCGATTCTAGCATTAGAAGCTTCAGTACAACGACTCCGCCATCGGAACTTCCCTGGTCCAGATATTTCGAGGACCAAGCAACGGATTCAAGCTTAGCACTTAATTCCGCATCTTGCTTTGTAGTAATTTCCTACTTCCTCGCTCCGGCATTTTTCCTCGCTTTGGTTGGCCTTGTCTACCATGCCAATCTATGTGTGGCATCAGAAAGAAAATTGGGAATGATCGAACTCCTGGATACACAAACATGTACGAAAACACCTCGAATTGTCTCTACCATTGCTTTTTTGTTGCGATTTATTCTCCAGGATGGTTCATTTGCTCCATTCTCATGACTCAGCTTCTCTTCATGCGTTGCTCGGATGCCCTCTTTTTGTTCCTCACACTATTAGCTGGGACATTTCTCCCCGTGGTAAGCAATTTTTCCTGTCATCACATCAAAAATTCTTCAGGAATGCAGACTTAAGCGGCGGAATTCGAGATCCACTTCTTTTGATGCAGCTTCTAAGACACATATTTTCAGTTCCAGCTTCAACTGTATAATCTTTGCTAATACTATTGCAGTGGTCATTGTTCTTATCCTCGTTTTTCAGGAAAGCCCATCTAGCAGGACTTTATACTTCCATTCTCGCATTCGCGCTGGCCTTTGGCACTGTAGCGTTCGTGTTCAGTGACATCCCACCTTATACCACGATCTTAATACTAAGTGTCTTATTTCCTCCATTCACCTACTCAACTCTCATCGGCGACATTGCGCGGGCCGAGGAGCACCTCGCGAACTTTTCGCTTCTGAAGCCCACGGTGTCCACCACTACCACCTCTGGTAATCAGAATTTCACTCCGCAAGTCACCGGCTACCTGTATATCGTGTTGTTCTGTGCTCAAATTGTGATTTACACCGCTGCGTGCTTTGCAGTCGAACACTACAAATGGAGTGTGAAAAGAACCTACGATGAGATCGATTCGTCTAGTGATATTGCAGTACGCTGCACCGAACTTTCGAAGACTTACAAAGCAAGCCGTCGATGGTACTGGCCATGGAGCACAGTTGGAAGCAGCCATCTTGCTGTTAACAGTTTGAATCTTGAATTGAAGACAGGTTCAGTTAATTTCCTGCTTGGGCCAAATGAGGGAGGTAAAACGACGACGCTGAAATGTATCACGGGCATCTTACCTGCGGACAAGAGTTCTCGACTGGAGATCAATCAAAATGCCACATTTTTTGACGTCTGTCCCCAGCATAATGTAAATATCACTCCTTCCAGTTATGTGCCGAGTTAATATTTGTAGGTTTTCTGGGAGAGACCGACGGTAGCCGTACACGTCAGACTATGGAGAAAGATTAAACTAGAGCAACTGTGGTTGGAGGCGAAGTTGATGTACTTACGGAGTGCGATATCTTGAAAAAATCTAACCAAGCTGTGGAGACATTATCTAGAGGCCAGCAAAGGAAGCTGCAGCTTGCCATCGCATTTGTGGGAGGTTCCACAATGTGCTTCATTGATGAGGCTTCCAGTGACTTGGTAGCTACAGCTGATCCAATGTCTCGACCACTGCTGACAGATTTTAGGATCCTCTCTCAAGACGCAATATCTGGAACGTTATCTCCAATTGTCACTCGCGCCGTATCATATTGATAACTACGCATTTCCTTGATGAGGTAAGGAACAATTCCAGATCTCATTCTACTTACAATGCTAATTCTTCTCAGGACGACATTCTTGCGGATAATATTTCAATCATCTATAAAGGAGGACTTGTGTGTACCGGCACCACCACTCCATTAAAAGCCAACTACGAACTGGACCTCAAGATCCGCCAGATTGCGACAGAAGATGACGAATGCTACGAAGAAGAAGAAGAAGAAGAAGAAAATAAAATGCCTACTTGGAACATGAAGACTTCTACTGAAGCAACAAAGACGATTCTCAAATTGGAAGAGCTATCAGGTGGTTTATACTCAGTCACTTTCCCGACGCTAGAGCAAGTCTTTCTGAACTTCACCAATTCATCGCTGGTCGATGGTAATGGCAACGGAGATGTAGCATCTGGTGATCAGATATCGAGACAGAAGACTGAGCTCGAAGAACTGAACCCAGGAAGTGTGGAGGGAGTAACCCTTAAAGCTGGGAACCAAACCAAGCTATTTCACCAAGCAAGTTGCCAACTCGTCGGCCTGACTCTCATACTAATTATATTCAAAATTCTAGTCATTCTGAAGAAACACTACCTTCTAGCACGGCACAGTTGGATGAGTTATGGCATCGCTCTCGTAATCCCAATTGTCATTGCCGGTGCACTAGCTAGCCCGGTCGCCAAATTCACCAGCTTTGATCCCTATACATTTAGAATAGATGTTACCATGCGAAATGCAAGCATAGCATAGTTCACGTCTTTAGGAGAGAGGCTTTTGATATGTACGATGTTCTCGGCCCTTTGGATACCCCTGATTTCTACAGCCGTGAGGACCATCCATATTATGCAATTCCTAGCATTTCTGGACCACCAGCTGCTTTTTATGGCGAAGTTCAAAATATAATTTATGTCGAGAACATGGAACATTATTCTAGGTCAGTCAGTCTTGAAGAAGAGGGTATTACTGGAGAACGGAAGGCTCTAGCTACTCGTGGCAATGCATCTTCAATTACAGAAATGGTCTCCATTATCAAAGATCACCACGGTGAGCCAGCATTTGGTGTATTTGCTGCTGACTTGGCCGATGTCACGCTCGTTCATCGGATGTCTCCAGAATTCTCCATGGCAGGTATGAACATCATCACCAATCGACTTGCGAATTCCTCGGCACAAACTGGTCGGTAAGGGAAGTCAAGACAACGTACCGCAAACTCCGACACGTCAAGTTTAATCCCGACTCATTATCAATTCTAGTTTTGGTGTTCATAACACTTGGGCTTACATATAGCACAAGTGTAAGCATCTTGTATCCGGTTTATGAGATGATCAAGAATGTCAGAGCCTTGCAGTATTCAAATTCAGTCTCGGTAAGTTTCTCCAACGGCCTAAATATAGTGTGCTTTTTTCTGACATAGAAATAGTCTGCAGCACTATGGACAGCTTACCTGATCTTTTATATGCACATTGGAATCATCACGTCTATCGTAACATGGGCAATTATATTCGCGGGCGGGAATAGCCGGATCTGGTATACATCGATATTCATCCTCTTTGCACTACTGCTATCCTGTATTGCGACTTACCCAGGGCTTTTTATATCTACTCTTAATTCCTCAGAAGAGCTGCGTTTGCAGTTGCTGTTGGCGTGCACATCATGCTAATGGTGGTTTATCTCATCGCAGTAAGTGCTCCCATCATAATACTGAATGAATCTAACGGAAAAAAGTACTTCATCAATAATCTCAAGGAACCTGTGAACTCATACGAAATGATCTTCGGTATTCAAGGTATACTTGGTCTCACCTCGCCAGCAGCTAACCTACTCCGAACGTTCTTCATAGCATCCGATAATTTTGGCATTCCCTGCGTCGAATCAGGGTGGTATGATCTGCATCCCATAGCATTTCAAATTTATGGTGGTGTCTACATTAATCTAATTCTACAGATCATGTTCTGTAGTTTTGTGGTTACATTTATCGAAAGTGGAAGCTCAGCATGGTTTTCCAAGCTTCTTCCAAAGAAAAAGATGCCAGCAACTCCAGCACAACTAGATTTTGGTATCGAGGGAAGAAAGTCTCCGAACTTCGCACCAACAGTAGAGCACGGTGATGATATCCCCCTCAAGGCTCTCAAGGGAAAAGGCAGCGTACCTGTCCTCGTTCTCTCCAAGATAACCAAATTCTTCAAATCACTGCTAGCACTTCAAGAAATCTCACTCGCCATCTCCACGAATGAAACATTCGTACTTGTCGGTGCCAACGGTGCCGGAAAAACAACAGCCGTCAATATGATTCGTGGTCTCATCAATCCAAATCATAGCACCATAACCATAGATGGTATCAATGTCCTCGCTTCACCTCAACAAGCACGAATCCACACTGGCGTTTACCCTCAAGATGACGCAATCGACGAGCTCACCGTCCGCCAAACCCTAAGCTTCCACGCTAGTATCAAAGAACTGCGGGACATCCGGGGGAATGTCGACGGCGTGATGCGCGCATTCGGCACAGCAAGCTTCGCCCACCGTCTCATTACCAAGCGAGCTATCAGGTGGTACAAGAAGGAAAGTGATGGTCGCGAATGCCATCCTCGGGAATCCGCGACTGTTGCCGCTGGACGAGCCTTCGACGGGGCAACATGCCAGTGCCAAACGCGTGTTGTGGAAGATCTGCGTTCGCTGAGTACTGATCGCGCGATTTTGATTGCCGCGCATAGTATAGAGGAGACGGAGGCACTTGCTACGAAAGTGGCTATTGTCGATAAGAAAATGTTAGCTTTGGGCACGACATTGCGTTTTGGAGGGATTTATCGCGTGCGGCGGTCTATGAGAGGAGGAGTGTGTTACGATCGCATACGAGAGGATATCGATAGAGATCAAACAATTAGAATAAGAAAGCTAAAGAGAGAAGAGATGCTTAAGGGATCTCTTTATCTCTTGTATAATAATACTCGCTTCTTTCAAGCTAATCTTGAATTAAGGTATGTATAATGAGTAATCATAATGTCATGTATTATTCGTTACAAAGTGAGAGGGAATTGGAGGAGGCTTTTAGGACTAGTTTAGATGTTAATTCCGATCAGAATCTATTTTTTTATTTTTTTTGCTACAGCGGATTCCGCAGTAATAGGTTTTTGCTCTCAAAAAAACTGATTCTTATATTTCGTTTTCCTATTTATATATCGATTTTAATATAAAATTTATAAAAATGAAAAGAAGTAGAATACATATATAATATATACATATACTTTTAAGTAAAGGAAATTCGAATTTTTAATATATAAACATTTTAAGCTTAACGTAGTTTATTAGCATATAGGTTATATTACTAAGTGTTACGGGAGCTGCCTCTAGGGTTACGTGAAAGTGTCTAGAGATCTCTCGAGATAGTTTAGACTAGATTTCAAATAGGAATTCAATAAGATTATAACTATTGTAATTCTCATAACTATAGTAATAAAACTAATAATTGTTCTTGAGCACAAAGCTCTATATTGTAATGAAACCCATTCCCTTATATAGACCTTCGTATCTTATGAATTGATAAATCGATTACTATAAAGCCGATTTCAATAAGTCGATTTCCTGATCATATGATGTCCATCTTGTGACTGATAATGATACTACTGCTTATCTAACCTATACTCTCTAGCCGATTGTCCCTACAGCACTGTTTCCGTAGGTCCCAATACCAAGGCCTTAGGTTTATCTTATAATCCATATTGCAGTGCGGGTACCTCCGTAACACTAAGATTACATAGGCCACTTTGAAAATTTACTAAAATCGAGGGTTTCTTAATATTTATATTTTAATAATTAATTATTATCTTTGAATCAAAAAATCATAATAAAAATAATTTATTCACAGCTAAATTAGGTTTTCTTTTTTAAATAAGAATTCATTTTAGTTTAAAATTGTTATACTTTACATTATGAAAACTTCTTTTCTTTAATAACTTTAATGACAATTAAACTTTTTGAAAAAGAATAAGATTTTTAAAATAATTGAAAAATTAGATTTTATATAGAAAATTTAAAAGTAATTCCATGGGTTCATAAAGAAAGTATATGATTATATACGAACGAATTTTTATATGTAAAATGAAGTAATTCATATAATGATATAATCTACATGCTAATGAACTACGTTATTACTACTATCATTTGAATAATTAAATAAGCGAATATAGAAATAGCTTCAATTCAACTGAAATGAATATAGGGATAGTACTTTATTTAACTGAAATTAAAATCTAAACTCTAATTTAAAGAGGGCTTAAAACTTTAGGCTATAAAGCCTATAATAGCCTATAAATTCCCGGATTTTTCGACGGACCAAAAACGATGACTGCTTTTTCTAGTCTATATGCTGCCCCTCGTCCGAAAAAAAGGCAGAGCTCCGTTAGATTTTCACTGCATTTTTCATTCCTACCTATTGATATCGAGACAAAGGGCATCATCTCTTCTATCTTGCTCTTCATAGGGGTCGTCTAAGCTTCGATTCCGGACGTAATTCCATGGCTCAAACCTGAGAGTACTATCGCTGGACCAACCAATGCCACCACTATTGACGATTGCTCGCTTTGTGTCATATAAAGTGGCGGTGCATGTTTGATCACTGTATCGGCAAATGATATAATCTGAGCACAGCTCGCATCATGGAATTCAGACCTCACTTCAATATGCTCGTGAGTGGATCTTAGCCAGAGCTCCTTATGTCCTGCTCTCTAGATTTAAGATCAGACCGTACCTATATAAAATAGCTCACTACGTATTCTTCCTGTACGTAATTTTATCATTTATACATGACAATGACAATTTCAAATTCCCTTCGGTCCTCGCGTGGCTATGTTGAATGGACTTGAGTCATTATTTCATGCTCCAAAATCCTCATCCCGAGTAACAACACCCGAAGTGAGATCGCTCAATGCCCGTCTTGTGTATCAGTGCATTTCCGTTTGACCCGGCGCCAAATGGATTCTCTTTGTCGCCGTAGATGAACCCGTTCGCTTGGCCATCTACACATTGGTACAGCATTGGAGTGTATCGCATCTTGATCCGTGAACATGGATTATGAGCTGAGGTCTTGCGTTAGCAGCTCGGTCATACCAATTAAGAGTATCGCGTATATCAAGGAGAGTATCGCGGTAGTTTCCACGATCACCGATGATTACTAGAGAACTTAGTTCAACAAATCGCATCGTTGCCAGAAGCGCGTCGAGAAGGGAAAGTAGATCAGGCCCATCTACGACGAAATATGAAAGATCTAAATATTGGAGCTTCTGCCATCGATCAACGGGGAAGATGGCCTGCAGTGAAATGCGATTTGCTCGGATTCGGGAGAAATTTGACCGTAAATGGCCCTTCTTCTGAGGCTAACATGCTCTATGTTAGGCGCCGCCTCGAACATTCTTTTCAAGTGACCGCTACGGAAACTTGATCAGTCGTCATCACAAAACTGTCCATCAGCAATTAGAGCGAGATTTATGCGACGGAAGCCTGGCTGTCGAATTAGATGGACGAGATTGTCATACTCCTCACATGGCTCATCAAAGACACGACAACTCCGTCCCGATGCGAGTTCTCTAACATCGATGATCAACTCTGAGATATGGTGGTCACTCCGTCCTGCAAGTACGTTGGTGATAACAGAAACCCTCGCCATTGTTTCTCAGCAGTCTCATCACTCCATGGAGGCAAGATTTAAAAGTCCAAATGGTCCAGAAGATGGCCAGCCGCGTGGGATTGGATAACTGAAACCTTTTGGAAAACATTTTATCATAGGCGTTTCGTAGAGCGGTTGATCCAAACTAGCATGAGCGGCGGGTGTAATAGTGATTCTTCGTAGTGATTGAAAGCGCTCCAAGACATACGTCAATGCATTAACATCAGCCCCAGATATTATAGCACTTCTTCCTGTTGCTCTAGAAGCGTGTCGTAGTACTTCCATGATTCAAAAAATGGCAGAAACTCTCGTGTCTTTGGCCCTTTTCTGTTTCTTCTGGGGCTTTCAACTCTCTCAATGTTGTCCTTGCAAAGTCGTATAAACCAGGTGGGAGGGTCATTTTCCGCCCGAGGAGATTTTGCTAGCATGTGAATTGTTTCATTAGGCCTCACTATATCGTGGGCAAGTGGTGCATCATCCCATATGATCTCTTTGACCCCTTTGCGGAACTTTTCGTTGTCAGCAATTGCTCTTGCAACTTCAATGTTTCGCGAATTGGCAGACAAGAAGACCCTATCGAAATAGAGAGGAACTCTTTCTCCCAGAGCCTTCGAGCCTTGCACGTCAGACAAAGGCTCTTGAGATCCGGATTAGGGAGGTAAGAGACGATAGCGGTGAGAAGCTCAGGGACAAGGAGCACGAGATTTGGTTTAAATGACGAGTTGCATATGATGATTTTAATATCTGAGGGATTGATTAATTCATTTGGGGACGTTGATTGATTACGCAGGTGATATCTGACAACCTCAGAAGGCGCTAAAGTCTACTAATAAAAATAAAAATAAAAATAAAAATAAAAATAAAAATAAAAATAAAAATAAAAATAAAAATAAAAATAAAAATAAAAATAAAAATAAAAATAAAAATAAATAATCTCACTGGAATTCGAAGTCAAACTTGGGAAAAATCAAAATCTAAGAGGCTAACATTTATTTGGACTTTACAACACCTGCTTGATTTGGTGCAAATGAATCTGTCGAATTGGCTGGCTATCGTTCAATCTACGCTCCTCTCTTCTGTAGAAAGAGCCTCGATATCATTGTTATACTACCCATCTCTGTCCTTCTTTTTCTTCATTTCCCCAGTCCCCCCAACCTTCAATACCGCCGACTATACAAAATATACTCTCTCACTGATGATCACACATATACCTACTCCATTCTTCTCCTCCCACCAAACAGTGGATCACTCACTCACTCACTCACACACTCACCACAAGCCATCCAAACACAAAAGAAAATCCACCCACCCCACATACCCCACATACCCCGCTGTAGCAAAACTTCCCCTCTCTCTTCCTCTCTTCACCTACAAAAAGCAACACAGCCCAAACTCCTCCCTTCTTTCCTACTTTACACCCTCCAGAAACATTAATTCCAGCGAAAAAACAGAATCAAAAAACAAAAGACAGATTTTCCGAATCCGGGAATCGAACCCGGGGCTACTCGGTACATTATCATATGATATTGAAAGCGAGTTATGTTAACCCCTACACTAATTCGGATGGAAGTTTGTTGAAGAGAAAGATGATATTTGGGTATATATTTAACACAAAACATAATGAAGAAGAACTGTGGAAAATGCATTGATGATGATGATGATGATGTTACTACAGTGGAAGAAAAAACACGGAGATATATTCGATAGTATATTCTAGGACATTGTAGAGTAAAATTAGAGATATTTGGAAGCTGAGAGATGAATTATTTAATAATTCGTCAATCAATGCGTCAATCAATGTAAGATCTTACCTATTAATTAATTAGCACAAGTCGAGTAGGTAGACTCTTGCTTCATGATTTAACTTCTAGATCCGTCTCCCTATCCCTTCCCTTCCCTGTTCTCTCAGAAGTCTTCATATTTTGTAAACAAATAACATCTACATCTCCAATTACAACACGATTCTACTTTTACACTACAAATGAATAGAGATTGTTTCTACTAGATACATCTGATAAATCTCTATATTCGCTCCATACATATATAGGTAGCATACACCAGAAAAGCTACCCATTCTCATTATCTCATCTCTGTCTACATAAAGTAAGTACACATACAACCTCACCCAATTTCTCATCCAAGAAGTAGGTATTCAAACTAATCATTAAATTCAGCCTAACACAGATATAAATACAAATACTAATCCAAACCCCCTTCTCATTCCCCCTCATCAATCTTCGCTTCCCCTTTACCACCCTCCACCCTCCACCCTCCACTCCCCATCCCCTCAACATAAAATCCACAAATCCATGACCTCTCGTCCAACCCCCTCATCTAAGCCCCCTCGCCTACTTACAACCCGACCATTTGAAAATTTATATCATACCATATTCTATTCTACATCTCTTCCTCCGCTTCCTCGAAATGATATTCATACACGTTTATTTACTCATCCTCCCCCCTTCCCTTTTTCCTCTTTTCTTTTCCTTCTCTCTTGTTCCCAAACTTCACAGTATCTAATGTCTCCATATCCACCTAGATTGTATCAAACTCGCATCTCTAGACACTCGTCAATCGATCAAACCAAATCTTATTGAAAAAGTTCACAGTTACCAGTATACTTTTCATGCCATTTTATTTATTCGTCTATTCTGTTCTATTCTCACTGATTTAACCATTCATATATTCCTGTATCCATACCCAAGTCTAAAATTCATGCACTTGTGCATCTAAACATCAAACCCCAATGCATACTATGTAGGTAGGCAGAAACTAACTCCAATAACCCATATTCTATTAAAGAAAATGTCATTCTCGAGTGTATCACATTACATCATGACCTGAATGAAAATACTATTTCCTCTCCCCTGTCCCCCTTCCCTTCTTAGACCATTTACAATCATCCTTTTCCCTTTCCCTTATAATTCGGCTGCCTCTCATAAGCATTCGGACTTCTTTTCCTTTCTTTACCCTTTCCCTTTCCTTTCCCATGTCCACATCCATCTCCATGTTGATGATCATGATCATTTCCACCGCCTTTCCCTCCACCCCCAGAAGGCTTCGCACTCCCATCATCATCATCATCACTACTACTATCATCGCTATCACTCGAACTTTCATCCGAGGATTCATCGATGGGTCGAGGAGCGTGGTATATGCAGCAAACTATTAAATTCTCGTTAGTTTACCATTCCAAGTAAAGATTTCAACCATTTAGATTCCCCTTCTTCCCTTTCATCCTTGAATCAAGACCCTCAAATCACAAATCCTATAGACCCCAAGAGAAAATGAAAATGAAGAAAAATACCTTTACTCTTCTTCCTTCCCAACCCTTCATTATCCACCACATCTTCCGCCCACTGAATTCTCCTTCCTCTTCCTAAATCTGCTTCTCCATCCGCACTACTTTCACTTTCTGTATTTGGCGCACCTCTCAAACGTAGAACAGGTGTATTTGTATTCGATTGTGATTGTGTGATTGTTAAACTTCCGCGATTCTGTGGAGCCGTTTGTGCTTGTCCTTGGATTCGGGTTTGTGTTCGGCCTACTGGAGGGGTAGAAGTTGAAGCCATTGCTATGGCGGGGTTGATGAATTATTTAAGGGAGAAAATTGTCTGCTTGAGTGACTTGATATCGGGATGAGTAGGTAGATAGGCAGGTATATGTATTCCGAGAATGGTGCAAAGATTGGTCCAAATATATGTTGCTCGCAGAAATCTTCTTGTACCTTCTTCCTCTTATTCCTTATCCGTTCTTACGACCACCATTCACAATAAATATCGTAATAAACCCACTTCACAAATCCTCGCAATGCTCTCTCTTCGAATCTCTAAGGATCTCTAAGTTCTCACAAATCTGATCCCGTCTGCTGGTATTCGATAATCTTCCTTATCCCAAGATCGTTGATCTAAATTCACGTCCTCGTCTTCCTATCCTATCCTATGATATCGTATCGTGTCGTGTCGTGTCGTGTCGTGGCGTATCGTATTGTATCCCACCAAATCACACCTTCTGTCGTATCTCTCACCCAATAAATCTTCGTCGCAGAAACTAAAATTTCAGAACCGCGTAGACGCAGACGCAGACGTATAATACCGCCCAGCTTCTTCCAAATCTCTCACAAGCCCTCTTCAAAGTCCGCGACACAAATCTCTCTACTTCGTATAATTCTTTCAATCTTTTCTTCGACTTCGTCTTTGTCTTTGGATTCGAGATTCGGATTCGAAATTGGAGATGCGTACAAGTTCAAGTCCTCGAAGTAATCGAAGTAATCAGAGTAATCCGATTCGTTTGTGAACTTCTTTTCTCTGCGCTCTCTTATTCTCCTCTTCCTTCCTATTATCTTTCCTATCACTCTCCTTCTATCGATAAATCCCTCTTGTCTTATTCTTCTCCACCCTCTTAATCTTTTTATCCTCCTACCAAGTCAAGTCAACTCAAATCATCAAACAACCCTTCAAATCGCCCTCAAAAAGTAAAATCAAGTAACCTAAAGTTTCCCAACTCGAAAGAATTTTAATCCTGATCTTCAGCCCCACGTATGCAAGTCTCTAAAGCTAAACCTTCAATAAATTAAAATCCCAAACTCAAAATTTAGATTTAAACTTTATCTGTATCCTTTTGAGACTTCTGTCATGCCATGTCATATCTTGTATTTCAACCAGTCGCATAAATTATTCATCATCAACCCCTCCCCTCTTACAAAAATATCCGAGGCTATCTAAGGCTAAAAGGCTGAAGCTGAGGCTGAGGCTGAGACTGCGCTGCTGACAGTGCGAGTTGACTAGTTAAGTGTGGCGTCGTGATTTATTTATTCTATTATGAAGTATAATATTCCTACTAGTAAGTGCGCAAACTCATCAAATCTTTGAATAATAGTTAGAATAATCATTAGATAATTAGAACTGATTTATAAAATATAAAAAGTCTACTAGGAGGTATGCGAACTTACAGAACAGCTTATAAATAAAGTATAATTTTATTATAGATCGAATTTAATCGTAATATAATCGCTTATATGCGCGTTTATATATATAGCTAGTATAAATAAATACTCTAAAAACGCTATACTCTCTATTCTATAGTTAAAAATTCTAAGAATAAATTATACACTACTTTTATAGTTCTTTTGAGATAAAGTATTATAGAAATATAATATTCAATTTTTCGAGCTCAAATATAAGTATTTTGATATAGTTCTTAGGTCAATACGATCTTAATGTTCAATTAATCCAGAACATAGATGTGAATAATATTTAATAAAGTATTGAATTTAAATTGAATTTTGAAGTTTATAAACTTTAGTATGAAATTGTTCTTTCTTCTTGAATGTCCCGTGAGTCCGTGCACGCACTGGTGGTCTTGTAAACAATAGCTTATTCTTCTAATGTGCCATCCATAACCTCTCAACTGATCTCGATAAATGGTGTGTGCATGAAGTCTCAAATCCCCATATTTATCACTGGTCTGTGGTGCGCTGCCGAAGTGTTAGCTTCCTATACCAGACGACGAAGTGATAGATTGAGAAATCTCCACGAGAATATTCTCGTATCCTTGAAATCAGGGAATGTGATGGGAGGAAAATGTTACTTACTATTCCACCCAGAGATTTGGGCCCTTGATGCGGAAATAGGACTTGCCGTTCTGGTTCTCCTCCTTGGTGGTGGGTCCGCTCCACGCAAAGTAGGTTTCGTTCAGACCAGCTTTGATCTCAGCCAAGCGGGGCGCGTAGTGGATGGGGTTGAGAAGGCCAGCCCATTCAGACACGAGGTCGACAGCCAATGCTTGTTGGGCTTCGGTGAAAAGGCTCACATTGACACCTTCGGTGATGTCCTCTTCGCCATCGTGACCAGGTCCAACAGTGAGGGTGCTCACATCATGAGTGATGTTGGCTTGTGCGAAAAGGCTGTCGTCAAGAGACCCGACCAGAGAAAATGCCATGTCATTCTCTGCGGCCAGCACGCGCTTCGTGACGTTGTTGATGGCTGGCAAGCAGCCGGTAAACAGTGGAGCGATGACGGCCTTACTACCGTACATGGCCATGTTTATCTCAAGATGATGCCCGCCGAACTGAATCATCCAAAGAGACGTCAAACTAGGCTTCCCAAAAAAGCCTAGCGTGTAACTTCCCAACCCAGCTTCGTAGTCCACACCACGGTCCTCCTCGACTTGGTCGGCGTTCATGATCTCCTGAACCTTGGTGTAGCCATGTTCACTAAACATGACGCGTAGCAGGTTCAGAACAGCTTCCTCTTGCGTGTCCGTGAAGTTGTCCCGGGCCAAACCAACGCGATCCACGATGCCGACGGGGTAGTTGGTCCACACTGACTGACCGAATTTCTCACCGGCAATGGGGCCAGTGGTCGAGGATCCGAAGTAAATGGGGGTTGCATTCCCTGCTGCTTCGTAAGGGTAGACTAGTGATGCATTCTGCTCCGCGGTGAGAAGGCCCAGGAGAGTGTTGGCAGCGTCGACAATGGCTGTCGATTGAGTAGTACCGTCGTCGGCTTGCCTAACTGCGTGCGACTTCGAGGGAAGTGATTGCGCCAGGGTGCATAAAGCAAAGAGAGAAAGTCCGAAAAGCATTGTAAGATCCTTTTATTGATCTGACGGATTCAAAAAAGCAGATAAGAATGAAGTTTGAACAGTGAAGACAAGTAGAAGATGCAAGCGGGAAGGAAAGACTCAGCTGTAGTTAGCTATCCTGAAGTTAACATCGATAGAACATACATCGCCTTCCTTATATGATGAAAATGTTGCTGCCCTGGAGTTCTCTCATGGTAGGTAAAAACTGTTCATAGACAGCCAAGAACGTTCCTACTGGTGTTACGCAGCCATCGGCGTATGCAGGCAATGCTTTTCGGATTACACAAGTCAAAAGAGGGCTTGATTTACTTGGCGTCGACATATCTAGCTCGATATATTCTGGTTGGGAGGAAGAAGTAGGTCTCAACATACGTACGGAGTGGTGAAAAGAGTTGTAAATAATTAACAGTGCATGATGGGGTGAAGCCCCATTATGAACAAATATTAATCCAACCCCTTTGGGAAAACACCCCTTCATGATTTGTATCACTTTTATATGGGAACGTGGAGATCAAGTTTTTTCTCAATATAATTCATACGATAAAGGTATACACGTATACGTAGTAAGTACAGAAGAGTGCGGATCTATCGTTCCATTCGGGACCGGACATTATGGCTTGAGGTACCAAGGCTTGAGGTAACAAGGCTTGTTGTACATAGCCATAACCCGCCATGTTCTTCTTCTCCTCCATATCCTTCCTCGAGCCTTCCCTCTAGTCGTGGGGATCTATCGTAGTTGGGCGTTGCCGAGTACATAAGAGGCCTACATAACCTACCAAGATTCTTCAACTTGGCAACCGCACGAAGCAGGAATATCTCCGCTTGGACATACACATACGTGATTATTCTGTTATGGAGACAGCCTTTTGGATTGTGAACTTGTGTGGAAGTAGTAAGAGCTTTGACCTCGAGGTGTTCTCGGTGGTTTAGACTAAACTCCGAGTACCGGGTAGGATGTGAAAAGGTAAGATAATATCAATATGTCTACTATTCTCGTTATAAACTACAAAAGTAGTGATTAATCTTACGTACGTAATACACCGTAGTTCTACATTTAAATAAAATCCCACTCCCTTATCTAGTTCTGTATACTCTACAAATCGACAAGTCGAGTCCGATTACTGCAAACCCAATTTCGATAACTCGGCTTCCTGATCACGCGATTCAAATGCTACCCGTCACGTTCACGCGTTGTGATATGCCGAGTACGCTCAACTATTGATAAGGGCCCGGGCATGCTCAGATGACTATCTAGGCAATTCGATTAATAAATAATTATTCTTCATTTATTTTGTTCTATTTTTATCTATATTCATCGAATCAGACATGACAGACTATGAGTATAATACGTTTTGCTCTGCAGCCATTTTCAATGTAGGATTTACTTGGATAGGAAACCTCTAAAGATCTAGGTTGTATTTCATTCAGTATACAAACTAATATTATACCTTCCTCAAAATAAGTCTATAGCTCCATATACTCATTCATTACTCATAGCCCATCATCATGATTCAATCATTATTCATAATTCCAAATCCTCATCCACATCCCTCTCACAAAATCAACCACCCAACCAGCACTCCCAAACCTAACATCCCTCCTCCCGACCTCCTAGCCCCAACTCTCCCCCCCATCCCCGGCACCTCTTTCTGAAGCACCTTCGTAGTCGTAGCCGTCGCCTGCACACTCACACTCTCACAACTAACCGTCCCACAAGCCCACCCACTAGGACAACAATCCCCTCCCAAACTCGTTGCGCAACTCGTCCAACCCGTTGCACACGCTCCTGATGCCGAAGTAATTGTTGCTGCCGATCCAACCGGAACCGCTACTGTGATTCCACTACTCACGATTGTCGTTGATGATGTTGCGGGACAAGATGTCGTATCGCAATTTCGACCCGTTCTACAACATCCTCCTTGATAATGTGCGGAGCAGGCATAGAATCCCGTGGGGCATGTATCTTGAGCGATTGTTGAAGAGGTAGTTGTGGTAGTAGTTGAAGAATCACCTGTGGGACGAATGGGGACGACTCCTGAAGCAGATGTAGTTGTACTAATCGGAGTCGAAGTTTGAGAGACCGTACTCGATACACTTGAAGATTTCGTACTAGTAATCGTAGTAATTTGAATCGTAGTCATTGGAGTCGACGAAACAGCAGTAAAAGTTTTGGTTGTAGTAACGACCACCACAAGTGATGGATTGATCACACATCCAATAGAAGCACATACATAATTTGGTATACAACAACCTCCTCCTACATCATCCGCACAAGGTGTATTTGGCGAAGCACAATTCGTAATCGTTCCTCCACAATTCCCTCCACTAGGACAACATCCTACAGGTCCCAACCCAGTATCTGTGATTTGAAAACACGTCTCATCAGTTGCGCAACAACTATTTGGATATCCGATTGATGAACAATTCGATGTTCCCGTCGGACATTTAAAATCTCTTTTCTCCAGTAAAGCCAGCGCGGCAGTCGAATCCTTTCTACGAGCTCGGATTTTTTCATAATCCAAGAATCCCGAATGATCTTCCGTGTGCAATGCAAATGGCGTTCTGAAAGAGATAGGAATCGACGAATTCGCAAGTGATCTCGCCTCCTCCTTCAAATCCCTTTCCCTCAGAAACTTATCCCTTCCATCCACACTCATCTGCAGATCCTCATCTCCAAATCTCCAATATCCATTATAGAATTTTTCTCCTCCATCTTCACTCATTTTCAATATCCCAACCGGATTTTTCGCAACCACTACCGGTCCATCACTCCCCTCCAACCTCGCATCTCTCCTCCTCGCAGATCCATAAATCCAATCCTTGACATGTATCCAATCGCGAGGCCATAGAGCCAATAATCGATTATTATCAATATCAATCGCCTGTACCGAATGTGTCTGCGAAACCAACAACATCAAAATCGAAGTCGGGAGACCTAAAACCTTCGCCGAGAGACGCATTTCGAGAATTGCTTATCCAGCCAGCTCCGATTTAAAATTGATAGCGGAGTGGAGACTAATTGATAATACTAGGATCAGCTTTTGAGAGCTTTAAGAGCTGTCTGTATTGGGGAGATCGAATGCAAAGCAGTGATGCATACAAATTCGCAACAAATCAAATCGACAAACGGAAAAAAGCTTCTTTTAAGGATTAACCTTATGCAGGCAATAAAGTATGTATGTAGTAGTAGAGAAAGGAAAAGCAGAAACCCTTTCCTGATAGCGCGCAAGAAACGAGGGTGGGAAACCAAGAGTTAAGACGGGTTGATTCATCAACTGGATGGTACGAAGTAAAATAATAAAAATTTCCGGTGGCTGGGATGCGAACTTATGGATAGAAAAGCAAACACAAACACAAACACACGACATATGAAACCTGATGCAAACCCTAGGTACAACAAAATCCCATTCACTACGAGTAGGTAGCTTTCTAATTTCTCCTCTCTCCTCTCTAACCCCTCAAAAAGCACTCTAAAACTTCCCTTACACAAGGTATAAGCTCTAAATCCCAAACCCAAAACCCAGACCATAACCATAAATCATAACAAATTCCACCCGGCCCCTCAAACAGCGAACCATCCGTAGTCTCAATTCGCATCCCCGCTCCCGGTGAATAGAACCCTGCATACATACAAATGACATGAACCCCTCATTTTATCAATTGATAATCGAAAAAGTTGAATTGTAAATTTATATCCACATTCAACTATTCCTCACACCCAGGCATTTTTCCGAGCGAATAACCTTATTGGGTTAATTCAAATCACCTCGACTTTCCTTGGGAATTTAACCAAAACCCTGGACCTCCACCTAGACCTAGACCCAGATCTAGATCTAGAGAAAGGTTACAATACAACATCAGACCGATTTATTCACATAACCATTCATCCAGCATTCAAATCCTCGGAATCCATTCCGTAATATCCCATCTACCTTCCACTCCTCTCAAACCTCTCCTCTCATTCCTGCCTCCTCTCCGCTCACCCTCTCCCACTCAACCCCCCCGTCCTCCTCTCAATCCCCCCTCCCCTCCCTCCTCACAAATATTCCCACAAAATCTCTCCCACCCCAAAACTATGCCCCGCACCGACGAAGCAACCTCCTTCTACCACTCCGTCTACAGCGCCATCCAAGAGATACCATATGGAAAAGTGACTACCTACGGACACATCGCGCGGTTAATTGGGACGCGTGAGTTTTCCCCCATTTTCCCTCTCCATCTCCATCTCCATCTCCATCTCCACTATCTTCTTCCTTTTCCCCTCCCAGTATCTTCTCCCTCCTTCCCATCACCTTTCCCACGCGACCCCCGAACCCCAAGCCCCACAGATAATTGACCCTCCCCCAGCCAACCGCCCCCGCCAAGTAGGAATCTGTCTCAAGCATCTCCCCAGCGCGCCCTCCACATCCACATCCACATCCACCACCATCTCTCCCGACTCTCCCTCCCACCTCTTCCACAACGGCAACGTACCCTGGCAACGAGTGATCAATGCAAAAGGGGGGATAAGTCCACGGTATATCTCTCTCTCTTCCCCCTCTTCATCTCCCTCTCCCCCCTTCTAAATTTCTACTTCCATCTCCCACCAAACTAACCCCCCTTCCCTCAAAAAAGAAGCCACCCCTCCGGCGCCCAAAATCAAGCTGCTATTTTGCGGAGTGAAGGTATCGAGGTAACGATTGGTTCGCGTATGTATTTATTCCCTCTCATTTCCTTCTTCCCTTCCCCCCAATCATTCAACTAACCCCCCTCCCCAAAAATAGTAAACACCCTCCTCATCTCCCTTCCCACCTACGGCTGGTTTCCGCGTCAACTACCCAGCGAAGAAGCGGCTGGTATCGATCCACCTATTAATTCGGATTCTGAGTCTGATTCTCCCGGTGCAGATGAAAGTCATGACGCGGAGGAATGATTATTGTGTTTGTTAACTTGTTTACTAGTTCTTTGTATATATCAATCATCATTTAGCAAACCAGGCCAAGGGAGGACAGAATCAAAAGGAACTACCTAGTAGGGCGGGCATAGATGGGTGTGATTTGTTCGGGGAGTAACTAGAATCGAAATCAAAATCAAAACCATCATCAAACTCAAGTACATCACCTCACCTCACATCATATCATATTCATATCATATTCATATCATGTCATATCATGTCATATCATGTCATATCATGTCATATCATGTCATATCATGTCATATCATGTCATATCATATCAAAATCAAAAATGGTGATGGAATGGTGTTTATGCATATAAATCTAAAGCTATGTAAGATACATAACCACAATGCCAGTAGAAAAATATAATCCACTACCCCATCAGCAAAAAAAAAATCTTTATAATTCTTTCATTCCTTCCATCATTTCTACATGTATACATTTTCATCAAGCCATCTCTCATAAGATGGAATCCTGCATCGCATCTGCTATTCTGGCCAGCTCACCAAATGCTCAATGAATGATTATTTCCTTGAAGATAAGAACATTCCATGCAGATGGTTCCCTTCCTTCCACCCCACTGTACAGTTGGATTGTGAGTTGTCCAATTAAACTTAATAGCAATCGAATCCATCAATTTTGGCCAAATCTTCTGATACAATCATCAGATATACATCTCAAAGGCAGTATATAATTCTCCATACTACACAGCTAAGCAAAAAATAAATTTGTACCAATGAACCACCATTGATTTGAGATCAAACCGGTGGGATGGATCCAATTGCTTTGATCTCTGGATTATTGATGCCAATGATCCAAATAAGGTCTAATGAACTGTACTGATGCAATCACTATAAAGATGCGACAGATAAAGATCATAGACTTGATGCTGTTCTCCTCCATATTGTCAAAATGCATGATGCTAAAGCATCGACGTGATGAATATATTTCCCAAAGTCAGAGCAATTTCGCTCATTTACTCTCATCAGCTCCAGGATTAGTTTGAGCTTGAGGGCCAGTAGGGACTTGGTTGTTGGGTGGGCCATGTGGGTGTTGGTGGTGTCGAAAATTTTGTTTGTTGCCATTGAAATCTGGGTTATATTGATTTCTTGGACCCCCTTGAAGATTTTGAGGGCTTGTAGCGTATTGGTTAGGTGCTCCATAAGCACCACCTCGCATTGGCACTATTAAGATGTTAGAATTGATAGCCAAATTTCTTGAACTTCTGAACTTACTTTGATTTGGGATTGGTTGAGGGAAAACGGGCGTTCCATATTGAGGGACTGGGCTCATACCATACATAGGTTGTGGATGACCTTGTTGCGAACCTTGACTCATCATCATTGGAGCACCTCGGCCAGGACTTGGATAACCTCCATTTAGCATAGCTGGAGGATGTCCATTGTTTGGTGGCATGAATTGACCTTGTGCGGGTGGATACATCATTTGTGGACCAGGTCCCATTGTTTGTGGAGGAATGAATCCACCTGCAGGGTTACCCATCATAATTGGTTGACCCATATGACCTTGTTGTGGCATAAATTGATGAGTTTGAGAAAGGGATCTGAATGGTGGCATTTGAGGTGCACCAGGATAAGAGACCATCTGTGGGTTGTAAGCCAATTGAGCATTTCCACCCATTGGAGAATGGAAAGCTGCCATTGGAAGCTGTTGCATTCTTGGTGATGAAAAGGATTGTGCAGAATGTGACGGCATCATACGCAATTCATCAGCATTGAATGTTGGGGCAGGATGACCCATCTGAGCTCCATGCATGTTGATAGGTGGTTGACGTGGGGATTGTCTAGCGTTAATGTTGTGGACGCCAGATTGAAGATGGAATGGCAATTGATGTTGGTGTGGTACCTGTGGAGCTGCTTGTGGTGGGTGAGGCTCCGATACAACTGGTGTGGTAGTAGGGAATGGTGCCTTTTCAAAGACTTGTATATAAGACTCCGTAGGTGCATCACTAGCCGTGAGTTTCCATAGCAAATGAGTATCATAAGCTGGCTTCAAACCACCGTTTGCTAGCCAATTCTTCCCCTCTCCCGGCTTAAGGGTCTTGATGAGCTCCATTGCATCATATTTGCCTTTCAGTGAAGGACGAGTAGCCTTTGCCATTGGCTTACGGCGAATTAAGGAACGCGCAACGGGTGTTGTTGAAGCCTCTGGAGCATTGGCTGCTGAACGAGGACTCGAGCCACTGCTTGGACCAGCGGGACTAAAGTCTTTTGCGAATGCATTCGGGCGAAATTCGCTGACGCTAGCATTCAATCTCGGACCACCTTGCGCACTTGCCACGCCACTTGAACGACGAGAGAAATTTGGATCGGCAGTGTTCGAAGGACCAGTAGGAGGAAGTCTAGCTTCATGAGCTGGCATGACATTGGATGGGACTTGAGCTGGTCTACTTTGTTCGATATTTCTTAATCGCTGAGCCAAGTGCCCGGCTGTGCCACTTCGGGGCATCGTCTGCTGTGCTTGAACAGGTCTATCACCTCGAGAGTTTTGCGTGAAGCTGTGAGTACCTTGAGGATGAGGTCCACGATTGACGGTTTGGCGAACAGATGTAACAGGTGGTGGCGATGTAGTATGAGTAGAGGTTGTAGTAGCGGAACGCTGTGCAGATACTCCATCAGCACCTTGTGTAATTGGCTTCGCCGAATCAGTAGGATTGAGCTTTGCTTCTTCCGCATTGCGTTGTGCTTTCTCTTGGATCGCCTTTTGCTTTGCTGGATCCTTGGCAATGATAGGAACAAGATCTGATGGAACTGGAGTATGCAACTTGAAATCATTGGCAAACCTCTTCAGGTCATTCAATTTGATTTGCTTATCATTCTTGATCTTGTTGGCGCGAATTTGTGAAACATTGTTTCTTTGAGTGGCAGCAAAGGTCCTGAAAGCCTTGGAAACATCAGCCTCGACAGTTGCAGTTGCATTTGGCCCACCCATATGCTTGACTGGTGGAAGGATTGCGCGGCTTGCAGAAGGAGCCACAGTCTTTTTGAGCTCTGGAGTGGGAGTGGTACTGGAATCAGTAGTAGGAGGTGGAGTTGCGACCTCTGGCTTTGTTGACTTTGCGGCTGGAGCTGGTTTTGCCTTCTCGGTGGGTTTATCGGCGGGTTTATCAGCCTTCGCTCCTGCAAACATGATGGCTGAATCGACAAGAGTACGATCTGCTGGAGCAGTAACTGGGGCAGTGACTGGAGTAGCAACCGGAGCAATAACCGGAGTAGCAACTGGAGCAGCAACTGGAGCAGCTGCGGGTGCGCGGTCAACAGGAGCACGCTTTCCAGGTGGTTGATATGCACCCTTCGATGCGGTGAGGGGTGGGAAATCCTGTTGTCTGCGAACGCCACTGTATCTGCCAATATGTTAGTAGTTACATGCAAGGGACAGAATCTAATAGACTCACTTGTCTTCTTCATCAAGTCCATTCTCATTTGGTCCGGTGTGGTCCGCAATACGTTCTTCGGCAACATGAGAGTTCATTGCCGTGCTGCGTTCAATTTCTCTTGCCTTTCTGTCTGCCTCTGCGACTCTCTGTGAATATTGCGGGTGACTTGTGTTGATCTGGGTTGTGTAGATATTCTCATCGTAGTCTGTCTTCAAGCCAAATCGACGCTCATTCTCTGCGAACTGGTCCCAAGGAGCCACTCTTCCTCCTCGACCTGATTCCAAGCCACCATCACTATCGACGGGCTTGTCAGGAACCCATCTTTGTAATACACGCTCTCCTTGGTTTCGGTTGCCCGAAATCGCAGTGTCTGTACGGAAAAAGCTCGAGTTACCTGCAAAGGTTAGCATTTGTGATGTCATTGACACAATGGAGAAAGACCAACCATTTTGCGATCTGCCATCAACCTTTCCATTACCATTTCCTCGAGCATCCCCCATATCTTTTCTCTGCGACGTCATGTTTCCTGGTTGCTCTCTATACTTTGTGCCGCCGTTGGGAAGGTCGTTGCCCTTTTTTCCTTGTTGTACCATATTCAACAACTGATGATCAGATGTATATCAATTCTCTTGAATTCTGTCGTGGTATGTGGTATGATGGATTCGAAGGAATATCTGAAGAGGAAAGAAATTAGCAACCCAATCCATGTGAATCCGATTGGAAGGTGAATGTGAAGGTCGGCAGGTAAGGTGAGAGTGATTCGGCTTTGGGTTACACAACGCACAATAAATGCGCAAAGCACTCCATCAAGCATGCATGCAATCGATGACTGAATGAGAGATAGAAAAATCACAGGTGGGAAAGAGAGATGGAGGGAAAATCGAGCAACACATACTACACAAATGGAAATCTCCAAAACACACCCTTCCTTTGATCTTCTCAAATCGCGCCCAATGTGTGCGTGGTGTCAAGGCTGGAGGATTCGCGAATAATCTGGGGTTCAATAAGGAACTGGTCCCAAGTCGAAGATAAAGTTCTAATGGGAAAAGGAATGTGGTTAGCATACATGCAATGTCATGCACAATTGCAGTAACTAAAGAAGTGAAATTGTAAGGTGGTTGTTTGAGTTGATTGCGAAAGCTCCAAGCTTAATCAATCGTGTCAAAAAGAAAGGCTGGGGTTGTGGTAAAAGTGTATAACTAATAATAATCATAACTTTTAAGTGTGTGCGCGTGTGTGGTGGTGTGTGTTTGTGGTGTGTGTATGTGTAGAATTTAAAGAACCATCTTGTCTCACCTCGGATAGGAAAAAGAATTATGAGAAGAGAAGAGAAGAGGAGAAAATCAATCAAATCCAAATCAAGAAGACCTCCACTGCTCTCCCTTTCTTAATGATTGACGACGATTACAGTATATCGTAACGGATCAAACAATCATGGAAAGGTATGAGTGTTGGGGGAGGGGGAATATGTGGTGGCGGTGGTGGTGGTGGTGGTGGTGGTGGTTATTTTGGATCCTTTAGAAGAGGGGAAATGTAAATTGGAATTTCTGAAGGGGGTGCTTCGGGTGGAGGAGGGAGTGTAAGTAGTCAGATTTGGTTAATTAAAGTTGGGTGATACAATGATGTGCTCAAGCGAATGGGGGGATTTGGACTTGATTTATCAAGAGATGGGTGAGTAGGTAGGTAGTTGGGCAAGTACCTAGGTAGCGTGGATGTTAATAAATGTCAATGTAGATTCCTCTCTTTGGGGAGACTACAGTACTCTCAGTATCTAAAGTACTTGACATAAGTAGCTAAGTCGTGCAGGTAGGTGAATAGAAAGTAATGTGATAGAGAGAGAGGACTGTAGATAGAGGGTAATAAATCTACTTTCTCGTTCTCTCATAAAGTCTCCCTGAATAGAAAAGAATTCTTGAAAAGTAATACGTACCTGGTAGGTAGATAGATCAAGTAGACGACAATAAGGAGAATGAAGTTTTAAATAGACTAATTGAATATGTAGAATACGTAGTGAGTCCCTCGTTCTACGATGGGAGAAGAATGAAGTTGGAATCAAGAATTAGATGAGATTTCTATCTCGAGATAAAATAATATAATAAAATAACATGAAACAATAAACAGAGAAAGAAGTAATTTTTATTTTCTTTCCTACTGTCTGTTGGAGGAAGAGAAGTTTGCTCCAGTGTCCGTAGAGATATTTGGTGGTACGGTGAATGGATGACTTGGGAGTGAAGGCTCTTGATATATCAAATCTTGATCAACGGTAATATCAATTATTCAAACTTTTATTATTCTTGCAGTATTTCCTTATTTGAAGAAACTCTGGAGAGAAGGAGAAGAAGAGCAAGTAGGAAGAACAAGGCAAAGTACCTAGGAAAGAAGTCGAAGTGTCAACCTCCAGGATGAAGTTTGCAAAGGGTGACAACTTGGTGAAGATTGATCAATCAATGATATGATATGATATGATATGATATGATATGATCTGATCTGATCTAACCGCCGTGCCAGTCCACCATGACCCAGATCGACCACCGTACCAAAAGCTGAACACAATAACAAATCCAGTCTTTCCTTCCGAGCTTCCTTCCGAGCTTCCCTCGAGGCAGAATCCAAGGCCATTTACTACCTAGGTGCTTGCTAACTTGTTAATCCAAGATCGATTTTCTTCACTCCACGATTCTCTTCCCAACTGTTACCACACTACAAGGAACTTCGCTGTACCACGACCCCAAATCAATTTAACGTTCGACCGTCAAGCCTTCTTCCCTTTCCATGTTATTAATATCTCGGGGATCCGGTAGATGACATATCCTAGTGTCGATAGACGGGAGCATTAATCCGGATGGGGGTTTGATGGGATGTCAATTGTGTGTGTGTGTGTGTGTGTATATGTGCCTTGTAGATATCATCATAACCACATGAATGAAACGTTTAGTCACATCCTCACTGGGGAAAGAGGATTGATACACATTAATAAGAAGTGTGAAAGAAGTAATGCATGATGGAGTGAGTACCTAGATAGTGAAGACCAAATTGAGAGAGGTTCCTCAGATAGGCTGAGTATCGTAAACGTGAAAGATGCGATTTCAATATTTCAATTCAACAAGGGGGATGAAAAGGTCCATTTGGGTCTCTCGGGTCACGCATACGAACATCCTTTGACCTTGGGATAAGATGTGCGTGCTGTAACAATTGTAAGACCATAATCTTCCATGGTGCGCAGGCTTACTTGCATATAAAAGTTGATGGGCCTGATGATGGATTATGAATGATGATGGATGACGGAAGTTCTATATTTATTCCAATGGGACTTATAAGGTAGGCACGGATGTCTAGACAAATGAGTAGAAAGGTCTAAAAAGTATGGCTTCATCATCCTTCGTACACAATCCATTACAATGATTTAGTAAATCCAACAAACGATAGATAATAAATAGCCTAGTCAGCTAGGATTCTCATACCTCTTTCTCTCCCTATATTATGAAATAGCCTGATGGTACCTAGGCAAGGCGATCCAAATCTTAAGATGCTTTTCCATCCTCTTCTTCACGGTCCCGAGCGCTTTCACAAGGTAAGGTTATATTTAAATGTCTGGTAACACAGGCCTGAGCTTCGAATCCCTACGTGGATTGGACACTTGCATGGAATCTTTCAAGTACGACCGGACTTTTTCTTGCATCTTCTATCTTATATCTTATATCCTCCCATGTTCCATACCGTCGAACGGACTTGGGATACTTTGGTCCTCGGCCACGTTACAAATATTATGGATGACGTCGCATAGGTAGGGATGGAAAGAAAGGAAAACGTTGACTTGTATGATTATCTAGAGCTGAGTACATAGTCGAGTCTTTCAGAGATAGAGAAGACTCTTTCTTACTCTCATCACATTCATTTGTTCCTCAAGATCAACGAATCCTATGCAGAATTGTTGAGGAATAATTCCGATGAGTGCCTACTGTACCTTTTCCTTTCTCACGGATATCTTCATCTGCACGGGGTTCGAGTCAATAACCAATCAGAGAAGAGAAGGATGGCATGTCCCCATGGTCTCGGGATGCGGCCTACGAAGTAGACGGGGATTGAATTTGTTGAATATTTGTCACTGCCGCGCGGTATGAGATACCCGAGTTCTACCTCGAGCGCAATGCCATCTAAATACCTGATACCTTGGGTGTGGGTATTGCTTGAGATCATACTTGATTAGTATAATGTAATAAGCCGTAAAGTACTGGTGCTTGAGAAGCTTCAAACAGTAGACTTAATAAGTCTGGGTTGCTTTCTCTCCATCGTTGATTTCGAGAAGTAAATATGAAGGTGTCATCGCTGATGTAGGGTTCATATAGCAGAAAACCGTAACGTGGCCGATCGATATCTCTAATGTCAATTTGGCTTGAGAATAGCTTACAGTGTTGGTGTAGCAGCTCTTCTTTCTTGATCCACGTCGATGGCAAGTACCGGTAATGTGATAGCGGTCCCCCTTTCAGAGCTTGTTTCGCCCGGTTTGACTTCTAGAACGTACTAGGTGTATGGATAAATCTGACTGGTGTTCTAACTCTCTTCTAGTGCTTTGTCTATATCTATATCTGAAGTATGTGGAGGGAAGGACGTCTGCATGTATAAGTTTAAGACTTCCTTCATCAGATCATCTTCAACCATATCGTGATTCCAAGGTTGTTGTTGAAACAAAGAGGTTGGTCTGTTAATATAAGATGCTTTTCGTATGGGAGTCGAATGAAGTCGAATGAAGTCGAATGAACCCCAAATTGGAATGGCAGGGATAGTCCTTGTCATGTTGATGTCTGAAAATGGAAATCCAAACTGGCCTTATTTAAAATGATTAATTTGATGTCTGAATGCCCAAGTGTGTCTGTGAATGAAAAGCACCATCAAGTTGTTAGTTGTTCGACATTCGACATTAGACAACTTCAGGCTTGAGTCTTTAGCATCTTACCTAATCTATAAAAGTTCATGTGGACGCACTATCTACGCCGTCCCTAGTAGTATGTTATTTTTACTTCAATGCCTGCCTGCCTGCCTGACTAACTAACTAACTAACTAACTAACTAATCTTCTTATGGCCTAGTCCCACTGCACTCACGTTATTCATTCAAACTCTCCCTCAATCCATCCCTCAATCCGTCCCTCAATCTACCCTTAAACATGTGATTCCACTGTAAATCTCTCTCCCAAAGCTCGGACCCTGCCCTCTTATAAACGTTCCCCCAGTCAGAAAGGTTTCACCACCTGAGTAAACCTTTTCGGCTAAACTAGCGTGATCTGGCACACTTGCATGAGGCACTCACCTGCCGTGTAGATTGAATTGAATTGACTTGAATTGAATTGAATCCATTCGAATTGATACCCATCTACTTAACAACTTTTACCACAACCAAGAAGGATTCACATTGATTTGCCGCAAATCTCTTTCCTAGCCTTCTCATCTTAGGAGCGCATCTAATTGCATTGATTTGCCAAATAACTCGGGTTATAATAGGATACCTTTGTGCATGGCGCGCTGACTCTTCGCCGAATCCTCCTTTCGACTTCCCATAGGATATCAATAAATAGATCGGTCGCAGAAATGCAAGCACCTCAACGGCCCGGTCAAAGACGATCTCCAGCATCGGATTCTCCTGGTCCACCTCCGACAATATCCGCCAGGGCGATATCTCCAAGTTTGGGTCCCCAGCCAAGGAATTCAACTGCTTCGACCAAGTCTGTTCAAAGCAATCACTCAGGAAGAAGACAAAACGTAAGTGATTGGTTCCCCTTGATACAATCGATTCGCCTTTGCGACAATGATCTCTTCAATGAGAATTCATGCTAATTTATTTCTTTCTGGATAGGGTGGTCAACCTCCGACAAGCAGCAGTAGTCAAAGTGGTCAAAACCCCCCACCATTATCTCAGATCGAGAAGAGCGTAACACACCTTCTGGTCGCCACGAAACAACTTCTCGAAACCCTTACGCAATGGTCTCGACATCAAGCCACAGACGCACAAGTTTCGGATGTTTATGTGCGCTTGGGATATGAGTTCAATATTGCTTGTAGGGCATTTACGGCAATAAATGTTGATACTTCGGATTTAGGAAATGTACCAGAGTTGCTTCGACATATACTCGAATCCACACTCAGTCAAGAAGCAAGTGTCGAGAGCTTGGAGAAATACCTACCTCGAATTAGAGATATAATCATCACTCTTCTCCATGGTTTAAAGCGGAAGCAACAAAAACTGCGGCAAAAACAAGGGAGAGATAGCGCATCACAAAATGGAGAAACCATACCTAGAAATGGAAGTCTCAGTAGCATTGCGAGTAATGGTACTGGGTTGACTACATTACTGAACCAAGGGTTGGAAAATAATTTTCAAGGGGAGTCTGGTGTGGCAAATGATAAGGGAAGCAAAGGACAATCTACAGCCGACTCTAACATACCTCCGAGGATGTCTTCGGCTACAGGATCGTCAAGCAGAAGAGCTGCTGGACCACCAAGAGACTCATCTCGAGGTTCAGTATCTTCAGACCAATCTACACTGTCAAGCCAAACAATGCAAAGCATTCCTGTTGTCCCACCTTATCCTGGAGATGAAGTCTCGATACCAATGCCACGTTCAAATGATCCTGATCTTTTGAATGTGGATAATTTTCCACCACCTCCGCCACCACCAAAGACAAATGCTGCATTGGTAGCTTTACAAAAAGGAGGGGATTTGGAGAGAAGAGCTTCAAGACGTTATTCTGCTTATCAAATCTCAAAACTTGTTGGTGCATCTCCAAATGGAGTTCCAATGATGCCTGTTCCACAAAACTCGCCAATACCAAACAGAGGACGCAATGATGCCAGGGAGTCTTTGAGAGCTGTTCAAAATCGTGATCAACGTCTTGGCCGAACAAATTCTCGTTTGATTCAGAATGATACATCTCCAGTTCGAAAGCCAAGTGTGATTGCTGAAGACAGTCAAGAGTCATTAATTCAGCAGCCAGAAGAACCACCCTCGAATGACAGTCCTCTAGTCAAGATCCCAGAAGACAATTTAAGACAATCTATTAATGATTATGATGGACCGAGTGCAACTCTCAATGGACCACCTCCTGATGTTCTTCCAAACTTTGATAATCAAGATCAAGATGAAGAAAAGGCTACTTCTGATCCTCCTCAAGCCCCTCAACACAGGCGATCTCCTTCCAAAAGAGAAAGTCCTGCTTATGGCAGCCAAGCTAGACAATTCACACCCGAACAATCTCCCCCTCCTCCTGATAAAGAGATCACAATTTTCTTACAATATAAGACCAAGGTTAAGAAGTTTGTCCTTGCTGATGGATACAAGGGTTTATCTATGGCAAGACTCCAATTGGCTTTCATTGAAAAGTTTGCTTGGAATACCCACAACAACGGTGTTGATCTACCCGAGATTTACATCCAAGACCCAGTATCTGGTGTTCGTCACGAATTGGAAGATCTTCAAGATATCAAAGATCGATCTGTACTTGTACTAAATGTTGAAGTTCTAGATGAAGTGAAGCGACACATTGACGATAGTCTAGGAGGATTGAAGAAAATGGTCGAAAGTGTCAAAACAGCAGTGGATGATCAACAAGTTACAATTCAAAGAGTCTCGGATCGCCAACAGGATGCTGCAAAGGAAATGGCTCGAATCGTATCTGCGCCACCTAGTTCTTCAAGACTTTCAATGATCGACACTGGTCGCATCACCAATGGCATTAATACCAGCCCATCGAAAGCCAATGGTCAAGCTCAACTTTCCGAAATCCAAAGCCTCCGTCGCGATCTTGCAGTACTCAGACAGACATACTCTGGCTTCCAATCTGATATTCAAAGTTCCATGGCTTTGATTCGTGCAAAGGCTAGCTCCGTCAAAAGTGTTGCTGTTAAAGCTGTTATTCCAGATATCAATGGTGATTCTGGACGTTCTTATGTCAATGGTGGAAAGAAGAACCTCAGCGAAGATTCCGATAAATTGGTTGCACAGGTGGATGATCTTCAAGATATTGTTGAAGATTTACGAAAGGATGTTGTACAACGTGGTGTACGACCTCTTCCCAAGCAATTGGAGACTGTTGCCAAGGATATTTCTCAAGCTACCATGGAGTTGAAGAGGATGCAAGACTTCTTGAAACGTGAGAGACCAATCTGGACAAAGATTTGGGAGAAGGAATTGGAGACAGTTTGTAATGATCGTGAAGAGATTACAATGCAAGAAGACCTTGCAGCAGATCTCCAAGATGATTTGGAAAAGGCCGCACAAACCTTTGCACTCGTTGAACAAGCTACTAAAGAACAATTGAAGGACGGATCTCCGAGCCATATTGGTACCGGTCGAAGTCTTTCCAAACTCAACCGCCTTGATCCAATTGATCCTGCCGCGGCGAAAGAAGGTGTTCTCGATGAAGTTCGTGCCTTACAACCAAATCACGAGAATCGTCTTGAAGCTATTGAGCGTGCCGAAAAACTCCGACAAAAGGAGCTTGAAGGTCGTCGAGGCAATGTTCTGCAGAAAGAATTGACTTCCTTTGTTGAATCGGGAAAATTGAAGAAGTCTGGAGGCTTTGAGGAAGTCGAAAGGCAAAGAGTTGCAAAAGATGAACGAATCAGAAGAGAAGTTTGGGAACGTCAAAATGGAATGACGCAAGCAGACGCAGATTTTGAGGAAGTTAATGATCCTGCTGTGGAAGAGGTAGCAGAGGCAGATGAAATGGTCGAGGAGAATGTAGATGAACATTCCGATTTGGAGACATGAAAAGATATGATATCACGATGGGGAAATGGGAGTTACATTTCCGAAGCATGATGACAATTCTTTGAAATTTTTCATTATCATGTCTTGAAGGAGCGATACAGGAAATGTAATGTTGGACTCTGATTTCAACATTTACACGATTTTACCATTTTAATTTGACATGGAAGGCGCATATGGTGTTTGTTATCATATTCAAGCAAGGAGTTATTAGGAATTGGGCAGAGTTTTTCATTGATGCGGTTGCATGGTCATTGACATGAGCGTTTCTTGTGGTTTTCGCATGGCGATGAAAGCGTGTCATGTCGATACATGGAAGATTCCATGGCGTGTTATTATAGGGGCGTTGTTTAAACTTGGCATTTGATTTGTGGCCTGGGGGGAAGTTGATGGATTGGCATTACATGATTGTGGATGATGTGTGCATGAGGGTGTATGAATGGTGAGGAAGGAAGTGGAAAGACATTGGAAAGGAAATAATGGGAAATACAGTGGCATGATACCAATGCAATACAAGGAATGGTAGATAGTATGTGTATTGTAGTGTATCCCAAGATCAGGTTTGAAGTACCAAGTCATCAATGTAGATGAGAAATTTACAATATATCAAATGATTTGGGGGCGGTTATTGTGATTTGAAGTGATAGGAAGTGATATATAGTAGCATATACTCCCCCTCCTCACCACCACTTTCATTTCGAATCACTTTGACTCTACACTACTGTACTATATCTCCTTGTTTTAATATAAATCCAAAATCACAGAATACGTCTACAATATATAGTCACCAAGTTTGAACTCGAACTCCACCTCCAGCCGGTCTAGTCTAGTCTGTATGTTGATGTGTGTGTTGATGTGTATGTTTAAGTGTATATTTAAGTGTATATTTGTGTGTATATTTATGTGTATATTTAAGTGTAGAGAGTGGATATATATTCCTCTTCTTTTTTCAAGTCTTGTTTTGTGTTGGGGTTGGAGTTTTGGGGGTGGCAGGAGAGGGGCGAAGAGAGGGGGACAGAGGGAGGTTGTATGTAT